TGTAAATATTGACGAAAGACACGTGTAAAACGCAAACATGAAGTCAAATACGCAATCGTCCTCAATCAGGAATTCTACAGGTGATAATTCAAACCACTTGAACTTTCGAAGCATTCGAATCCACGTATGAAGCAACATGGTCTGGTTAACTTCTCTAAAATGTGGGGGTTTCAAAAAATAATTTCGGGAATCAATTTCGGCGAGTACAGTTGATGCAGCTTGTATCATGATTCACTTTTAACGTAATAGCAAAACCAACTACTGGATCGACATTCCAGTATATGTGAAAACCGGTAACATTTACATACATTAGCATCAAACTGCTACAAAATTAATTTCCATACATCTGGGTGGGTGATTTGGGAAGTTTCCAAGGTATATAATGTGATAATCTAGATACTCTGGACGAGTTATGATTTAATTCAATGATATTCGAACGTTCTTATGGATCAATATCTTAGGATCAATATCAGACTTTAAAATCAAGAAAACTGGTATACAGACTGACAGACTGATTTGACTAGAAAATGATAATAGAAATGATAATAGATTATTGAAAAAAATTTCATAGAGGTGTTGATATAGAATTTAGCAACTTAGTAAAGATAAATTAAACATTTTTTTTTACGAGCACATACTACAAAATCCACCAAAGAAGTAGAGGAAAATAACCAAATCCAATTTTTGATGTATTAATAGATAAAGTAGTAAAGATTAATTTGAAAAATTTTTTATAGAGAACAGCGCCTTAGTTTTCATTGAAATCATCCTACTAGCGTCAAATAAGCTATCATTAAAATAGTGTATGATGATTTTATCTATAATAGTTATTCTCCTGAATATTTTGTTAATGTGGAGATTCAAACAATCAAAAACAATACCATTCAGCAAAAACAATCACCACCAACAATCACGAAAATTTTGATGACAGGATTGAACGAAATAAAAAAATTGAAAGAAGCTGTTGGGATAGTGTCAATGAGAAAAAGATGAATTTTTAACATTTTGTTTATGCATAGATACAATTCGAAAGATATTAAAAATGTTGTAATGTTTTCAACTTATTCGATTAACCATGAAAAAGGCTTTTCTGGCGATGGTTATACTTTCTTAATGGAATTCAACTGAAATATTTCCCAACTCTAGGATACAGGATTTGAATTTCAAAAATTAAAATATGTTCCTCCGTAATCCCCAAAGTGTTCAATTCAGATAAAAATCAATTTTGTTCAAAAATGGCTTGCCATCTAACATAATAGACATTCACAAGGAAACCTCACATGTATTCCAGGATAATTGTTGACTAGAGTTTTCGCTATTTATTTTAAGATAAATATACCTACTTCGTTTTTTCCAAAAATTAACTTCCTTTTCATATTCCAGGATTACTTCTAATACGGTTGAAATTGGAATATTGGGATTATAAATTGACCATTCCTGTACATTTTATATGTAACTTTCTATGTTTTTACCACCTTTATTTGTAACTAATATACAATAAACTTATTGTATATCAGTTACAATAATTTTATTGTAAACAATAAGTTTATTGTATAAGTTTGAAAATGTCCGTATAGGACGAAATTGCAGTAACGTTAGTTACAAATAAAAGTGGTAAAAAACATAGAAAGTTTCATTTTTTTTTCATTATGATTTCCTACCACGTAGTAACGGCTACTCCATTGATTCATTTTATATGTCTTGTGGAAAAACAAATATTAGTATTATTATTATTAACACGGACTGCAAGCTGCCTCCATTGATCTACAATACAAAGAACACTTCCGGAATATCAGGATACTTCGAAACCATTTCAATAACCTTGATCAAGAAGGACAAGAAATGGAAAGAAAAAATTAAGTCATTCATCCTGTATCGAATAATTATGACAAACCAGTAGTAAATCGAGTCACATGATCAGAATATTTCAATCAATAATCAGTTGACACAGAAAGTAATTAAATTTATGGGAATGTAAATAATTCAAGTTCTTGTTGAAGCGAATATGGAACTTAGTTATGCAGTAGAATTATAGTTCCGCACATATAATATACTTTCGATGAATGCTGTCATAACTCTGAGAATTTGTTTTATTTAGATGAGAGAATGGGGGGTCACCTCCTGGTATTTCAATATCAGAACTGAAGGTATGGGATTTCATCGTTTTTTTTTGGTTGACAAACACATGAAATATAAATACTTGAAATGGTTTCAATACGTTTTTCTTCATAATGTAATATTGCTGATTCCCTTCTGTGAGTAAAAGTACCTTGATTCTGACTTTTGACTGAAAGAGGTCAGTTTAATCTTGAAGATGATCACTTTGTTATCGGAACACGTGTCGAGGTGTTAAAAATAACGATTTGGTGTTGGGAAAAAACTCCAGTAATATTTAAAAGAGGTATTACAATTGATATTGTATGATATTTTCCGTTGGTACCGAGGCAATGTAAATTTATATTTCTAAAATTCTTTATCTACTACATTGCAATGATACTTTGTCCTCATTGCGGCCCTGGTAAAAATTACATTCGCATGCTTTTGTGTACATTTAGGTACTGCACCTCGGATTAGAATATAGTTGTTTTTTCGCAGACTGAAAGAATCAGTAAATAGTGAAATCAAACAGAGAGTTTGTTTGTACACATTACATTTACAATGGAATGGAATGGAAGTTTTCGAGTCAACGGTCACTTTGACGTACATCACAATAAGTTACTTTTTGAAATGGTACGATAAAATTGATGTTTTTTGGCTTCAACTAAAATGGGTAGAGTTAGGTTAGGTTAGGTCCAAAATGAGTGGGTCTATTCGACCCTCCACCGCAACCCGTAAGGGTTTATTGTGGCTCACACTCGACCAAATGAACTCAGCTTCTTAACGAAGCCGAATAGTTTGTATGGTGAGTGGTCTTTCAGTTCAGATGGTAAGAGACACATACTGTCTTCCGACAGTCCGAGTTCCTGCATATGATGATTCAAATGACAATGACCTATAAGAAGGCCTGCCAGAAATAGATAAATCTTCTTGCCATCCAGGTGTTCAATGATTGTTTGGCAAATCTTTAAGCGATGTTAGTGACAGGTTTTGCTTGCAACACCCTTTTTTGCAAGGAAGTCAGCAGCCCCATTGCCTTCCGAACTAGTATGGCCAGGAATCCAGACTAGAGACAATCTGTTAAGTCTTCCTATCAAGGAGAGTCGTTTTTGTCAATTTTCTACCAATTTAGACGTTGCTCTGTAGGAGCCAAGAGCTTTCAACGCCGCTTGACTGTCTAAGAATATTTTTATTGACTTGTGTATGAGATTGGAGTAGCCACAATATGTATTCAAGAAATACATTGACAATTTCATTTGGAGTTTTCCGATTACTCAATTCTCAACATTCCATTGAGTGAGGTGGATTGAAAAGTATCAGCTAGAGTAGCCAACGAGATCACCTGAACTTACGTCACTTAACTTTTTGTATGAGATTAACCGACGAATAAAATGTCCGAAATGTAAGCGGAAACGTAAGATGGTTTAAACAAAATAAATTACACAAGTGAGTTGAATAAGTTATTAACCATTCAAAATTATTTGTAACATCATTGCTTTCCTATTTGAAAGAATTGTAATGAGACACCTCGAAGTTGAAAGAAACAGCCTACAATTGCCATTAAACGAATAAATCTAATATGTGTTATTTCTTCCTTCTTGCAAATGACGCAACATGGATTTAAAAATTCAAATCCAAGTTTCACAAAAATGTATCACTGAGACAGTTTATACTGAATAATATTCCTTTCTGAAAATAAAAAAAGAAATGTCGAAGCTATATTCTTAAAGTTTCCTCTCAAGGCTATCATCTTGATAACGAAAGATATTATTATTTCACAAATAGATTTCGAGTTTATTGTAGTGAGATATTATATTCTTCCATAAATAGGTCTCTAGGATTGTTATCTTCAAAGACCTCCCTATACATTTGTTACGTTCATCACGAGCCATTGAAAAAAATCAGTTCATCATTCAATTCAATTATTATTTTTTAATTAATCAATGTTTTCCGAACAGATATAAAACCCATTTCAAAATTTTCAACCACGCCTTTGGGTACAAGTGGAGACTGAGCCGAATGCACTTGATACCGTAAAACTTGCCGGAAAGTATTTGTTATAGAAGAAAAACAAATTTCAGGTGCATTATATGGCCAATGTTTACATACGTGTTTGATAAAAAAAAAAACAAATCAGGTCCGGTTTAAGTCTGCAGGTAATTATTGTAACCTGCCCTTTATCCAATATACGTCACATCAAGCTTCCATTAGAAGCTCCTCCCGTTCTCAAAGTACTTCGAAAATATATACGATTCTATGGTTCACAAATGTCACAAAGTCGATTTATTCAACCGTCCCAATGAAAACAAGGTTGAAAAGTTTGTTTTGTTATGAGGGTATTCAAAAAATATATTTTATACATTATCGGAAAATAATTTGACCAAAATACTGAATATTTATAATCTGGAAAATAATGTTTCCTTTCTTGTATCTTTTTCTTTAAGGGGTTGAATCAGGAAATATTTAGTGGATTCAGCATAACCTCTGAACCATTTATAAACCATTATAAAACAGTTAATTCAAAAAACAATTCTTTTTCTTGCCACCTTATAATGGTGCACAATTTATAAAAGCCCAGTACATTGATATCTAAAACTTTGGTACGAACAATTTCTGAAACCACCATTTACCCACCTAAACCTTCTATTGGGAGCTTGATGTGACACACACTGTATTATTACAGACACTGGGTAAAACAAACTCAAGTATATAATGCAATTTTGAAGATCATTGCATCAGAAAAAAAATGTGTTGAAGGTTACAAGAAATTAGAGAAGTTAATCCTTTTTTTTGAAGGAATAACGAATTCAGACGAGCAATTGTTAGCGCCAATCGCTTTGAATGCAAATGTTCACACCGTTAAAACCATTACCATCACTATCAAACCATCGCCAAGTACTTACCAATAAGTGTGGAGATTAATGCATGCGGTCGCACAACGCTTGTTCCGATAAAAACTTGGACCTAACACGGAAAATCACTCTGTCACTGTGTCAAGTCCAATCGTTTCCCGCGCTTTGATTTCACACAGCCGAATCCAAACAAACTAAAGTCTCTTATGTGTAAGTCGAGTCCGCGTGCTGGCAACAAAAGTGAGTCCCCTCTACGGCGGTTCTTTCATTCTTTCCCATTTTATCAATGCGTCCAGCACGAGCTTCAGCTGGGACCGTCAAGTAAACGCAAACAAAACATGTGCTTATGAAATTTGATAAGGCACTCTTGGGTGATCTGCAACCTACACGGTGACCCGAGATGACCATGGGTTTCAAGCACCGTATCTTCAGAATGTTTCACAAGAAGGGATCGACGCCAAGTTCACCCGTTATAAGATTTGATACGTGATTGCGAGGGTTAGTTTTCTAGGAAGGCCCTTATCTATAGAGGCATGTGATATATCAGCTGGAAACATGTGTTGCCTTCCAGGGGCGTAGCCATGGAGTGGGCTATCGGGATGGTGATGAAACTTTTATTGAATACTTTCGGTACTTAGAAAATATTGGTGTATAAAACGTTACAGTGTGGGGGCCCTGCCACATCTTCAGGGATGGATGTCGGGATATGCCGTAATCTCACCCTCTTTTGATGAAGAAGTCAATAGTGAAGAGGGGGTCTTTTGAATATTATTTGAATTATCTGTACCAACGATTCCCAGCCTTTTAGCACTTGCGTACCAATTGACTTTTTGAGAAATTTTGGCGCATCACCAGACCTAAATATTTTAATAAACGTATAATATTTACTCTTCTAAAAGTGTTCAATGGCTTTTTGAATTAAATTCCTGAGAAATCTCCATATTTATAACGTGCTCTCGTAATATAGGAGAAATAAAAAAATTGAAATGGTATTAATTTACAGTTTAATTTATTACCCATGGGTCTAAAAACATACAAGAGAACGATTAGAACAAACTCAGCAAAAAAATAATAATCATACAAAATATACATTTTTGTGCAACTGTCATTGAAAGTGACATTTTTAATGCTTGTCAAGAGTATTAAAAGATAATGTTTACAAAGTAGCTTGTTAAAAATATTTTGAAAATGATTTTTTTCTACCAAATAGCAATAAACAAAACATAATTATTCAATTTTCGAGGAAGTTTTATTATGAACATTAGATATAGTTACAATGAAACTCTGTTGAAAATGTATGATATACATTAATTACATCATTATTGGAAAAGAAAGTTTTTGGCTTTCTACTACTCCATTATGATACAAAAAAGGGATGAGGGAATCTTTCAAAGAAAGGAAGGAAGTAATCAATTTGAAATTAAGTAACTCTATACATGGATGTGTAGATCATGCAAAGAAGTAACTTTCAGACACAAACTGAAAGAAAGTCCTCCTGAAACAGCTACTATTGCATACCATACATAACAGAGTTACTTATTTTCAAATTGATTACTTCCTTCCTTTCTTTGGAAGATTCCCTCATCCCTTTTTTTGTATCAAGATGGAGTAGTAGAAAGCCAAAAACTTTCTTTCCCAAAAATTAATCACTCCTAAAAATATAACCCCTTCAATTCATACATTATTATTATTATTTATGATCATTAATATGAAAAGTTCAATTAGAACAACTGCTGATATTAATGCCTTGTGATGTTGAACAGACTTGTAATATATTTGAACTATCTAAGTTGACAATTTCATGGGCATTAACATTCAATTCTTAAAGTGAAGAGGATGATTCTGTAACTCCGGAGCTAGCTGTTGGGATTTTTTTTTCAGCAATAGCCTTTTTAGAAGAAATAAATTGATTGGTGTAACCCTCAGCTACTGTTGTGGACTTCCATCCTCCATGCTTCTCAATATCCGTTATATTTGTTCCTGATTCTGCTAGCAAAGAAGCAGAAGATCTTCTGAAACAGTGACCTGTATATTCCTTTGGTTCCGGGAGGTTCAGAAACTTAGCAATGGTAGAGGGCATTTTCCCAAGCTTGTTTATACCAACTGGGTTGGCACTGCATTTATAATTTGAGTATTTCAGAAAAAAACGTTGATGATTGATAACAGAAGGGCGTAATGCAACATATTTATTAAAATAGTCAATGTTTTCTACAACAATGCAAAAAGAACGACCTATTCTTGTTTTTGCATTTGGAATTTGAACAATCAATGATTTATCCATTAATTCAATGTCTTCTATCAATAAATGGCACAGCTCTTCACGCTGGCAGGCTAAGTATATTCCGAAAATAGTAGCAACTTTTATCGTCAAATATTTCAATAGAAATATTAAACTTATCTATTTTATAATGAAAACAGGGCAGTTTTACCAAAAACTTTGTATGATATTTGTGTTAAAAGTAAGGTTTTATTTTGTGTAGCGAGCGTAGCGAGATGAGCAATTTCAAATTTTGTCCGACTGACCCCGTTCAAAAATCAAGAAAACTCATTTCAATAACAAAAGTCCCCGGGATCGAATGGGATTAATCCATTTCTCTTTTCTGAAGATATTCATCTCAGCCTTAGTTGTAAACCTCACGAGATATGATGTCTTATACTTTGACGGTCGATTAGGGCTACATCAATTTGTTAGCTTATGTCAACATGAGAGTGGGGAATGAATTTGGCAATTGTCGTTTCCCAAAACGGATTTGATATCCCTCGAAACAACACAGGTGTCTCGTCAATACCGTGGGAGTTGTGAAGGTGGTATTAATAAAGCACTCTCAAAGCCGCCTTATATTGATAGTAGTATTGACAGTGGTACGAAATTTCCTTTCCTTTTCTATATGAATAAAGCTCATTATCTGTCGAAGTAGCTGGGCTTAATATATTTCGTATTTCGGAAATAATCACGAAATGTTTTGATAAAACATATTAGATAATATAAATCTCTTCAGCGAAAACAACGTAATGAACTTCAAATTAGTGAAAGTAAATCTGTTAGATATTAATATCATATCAGGTTTTTTCGTAATTAAAAAATGATTTCATTATTAATTATTACGATAAGGGAGATTATGTTATTCATTAGAATTTACCAATAGGCCATCGATCGAAGTTCAGCAAACAGAAATTTAGATTAGATATATGTGAACTTTACAGATGTCATACATGCGCTTCAGAAAAATATCAGTTGAAATCGGAGAGCATGCATCTGAATATTATGAGATAGACCTAGGAGTTCCTCAGGGATCGATTCTGGAGCCGCTTAAATTTTTGTTATTCATATACGATCTACCTGAACATATCAGTTTAGACTCTGTAGTTCTCTGCACAGATGTTACTACATTGGCAACTGATTCAGATAGTCCTGAAGACTTACAAATAAAACTGAATAATTTGGCAGCTGATTATTCGGTTTGTCTGAGGCGACAAGCTTTCTTGTGTTCAGAGAGACAAGCTGCAACAACCTTTCACATTCTAGAAAATAATAAATTGACGGTTTTGAAGATTCATCAACGAAAATATCCGGCATTCTGAAGAAAATGTTCTCTACGAACTTCTAGACGCAAATGTAAACAGAGAGATGTGGAATGATCAGAAGCTTTGAAGAAATGTGAATATAAACAAGATCCAAGAACATCATTTTCTTGCATTGCTCTCTGACCGCAATCCAACGATAAAATACTGAATAAATGCATTCTTTCACAATCTTGACAATTCTGGTCATATAAATGTTGCACAAAGCAGGTTATCTGACTTGCATGCCCGATGTTACAGTTCAATTAAAATTGAAATTGGTCATTCTAAACAATACGCTGATAATCCATGTTTATTGTTTTGAAGACTTCGGACTGCATTATATATGATGGATACTGAGAAAACTTGTCGTTTGACCCATTGTAAAGATTCCTTGGACTATGGAAATATAAATAGATTATACTCCTCAACTTAGTGTAATTAGGCACTTGAATAGATAGTGTCGATAGACACTGTAAAAAGCTCCTAACTACCAGTCACAACAAAAGAGAGGGGTATTTAAAACGTTGGTTGAGGCGTATATGTGCACCTGGGAGTCTTGCTGAGGAACCAAATCACCTAAAAGTGGGTACATCGAAGGAGAATTCCAGCGGGTCATTCGACACAGAAGAGAGAACATCGTTGATAAAAAACTCACCTGGAACGCTCACTTAGAGTTCGGCAGAGCCGTACGCTTACCATCTGGGTTTATTTGGTCGAGTGTGAATAGGTGAGAGCCACAATAAACCCTTGCGGGTTGCGGTGGACGGTCGAATAGACCCACTCACTTTGGACCTAACCTAACCTAATCCCAGCTAGACTGGTCAAGAAAATAGCTTCCTTATGTTGAAAATATTACTGGCCGGATTGGTTGAATATTGGAGAAACACGACGTGAAATCAATATCCATGCCAACAAAAACTATCAGACAAAATCTAAGGACCGCTAAGGACCTTTATCAACACCCAGGGTATACTGGATTCCTAGTAGCTTATAGAGTTTATAGAGAGACAATAGAAATTCAATAACACGGGGATAATTTCAATAGAAAATAAGAGGCAACGAACAATAATAAAATCTGGCTACCTGTCCTCAATTGTTCACAGACAAAGTCAATTAGGAGAAAACAAACAACTCCCATCAATAATAATAAACAACTGGAGCCAAATTCTAGCATCGTACTCTACCGCAGTAGTAGACGAAACGTTAGGTAATAAAACCTGCAGACCACGGCCAAAAAACCCGGAAAATAGCTTTCACATAGATGTTTCGATTGGACTTTACGTTGATTTACAGTTTATGCAGAAAAATGCAAGATGGTTTTGATCGAAACGTGTTACGAAATAATAAATGCATAGAAGACGTTCTCAAATTCAATAACTTTATTCAATAATTCGAAATTGTAATTGAAGAATTCTCACTTCAATTACACTTTATAATGATCCTATTATAACTATGCATAATAATGGCTCATTCATTATTGAAATTGTCGTCACAAGGTGACTACAAAAGGTGATTGAATAATGAAACAAATTCTTGAAAAAATAATACATCAAATGTAATTCATTAGTAAGATTCTTCTCACATGACTTCCTACACCCGTAGAATAGGTGCACTTTGATTCGAGAATTATATGCCCTGAACAAATATAATAATCCAATAAAAGACCGCAAGTACATGCAAACTTTTTAGAAGGTCATGTGATACCTCTGAAAAAAATATATGTTTTCATATTGCAAAAAAAAAAGAAGTTTCAACTGTCTGCTGAAAAAGGTGTTCATCGAAAATATTTGTGTAGTTTTCGAACACGCAAGCATTACCTTGAATATATGGAGCAGTGAAGAGAGAGATGTGGGAGTTTTTCAACTGTTTTGACAGAAAAAGCATCCTTATTCACGCCGGTTGCAGGCCGGATGTCCGGTTGGGAGTGCTGAAGTATAATTACATTTCATGATTGTATTTTATCATTATTCAAATATCTTGGTCATTATTATTATTTGTTATGTAATATCTGAAACATTTTCAGAGATCATCATTGTATTTCTTTTAATATGGCCAATAAAATCATTAATACTTTTGACTTTTGTTTCCCTATATAATCAAAAGCCATTCATTTGTGAATTCGAATATATTGGTGTTATCAAAATAATCTAAAAATTGAAGTTCAAGTAGTTTATTGAGTAACTATATATCGATATAAAATTTTTTGCATTTCAGTCTGATAAATAAATCGAAAAATGTTCCTGTTGAAGAGCATCGTTGCCCTCAGTGGCCTTTTGGGCATATTAGGGGCTTCCATATTCCCACCAGCAGAAAATATTTTTCAGTGTTTGGTAGCCGATAAGTAAGTATTTTTTCTAAGTCGTTCGTCAAGTATAAGTTGCATGGTGTGTACTTATTACACATATTTTTGGATAGATGATCAATAGTTCAATCTTCATTACTTATTTACCTACTTTTATTTTTCAAGTTTAGGGAACTACAATAACTAAATATTATCGGCAAGGTTGCGGGTGGCACAAAGTTACATGAAACACTTTTTTCAGTTATACTCTGATTTATAATGAAACAATACACAAGGATGCTATAGAAGATGAAATGGCAGTGGCCATAGTTAATTTTCCAGGAGAATATAAAACAAATGATCAACCTATTGCATGTGTCAGGGTGAGTACCAGTATACAATCCAACACAACGCTCTTCATAACGAACATATTAGGCATTTTATACAGAAAAATCAACTCAAAAATGGCGGCCACTTTCGTAAGAATTTTCTTTTAAATAATGAGATATGTAACATTTACTCTGATAAATATGATCTCATAATTACATTCAATTATCCAAAAGCCAAAATCAGTGAATTTTCTCTCCAAATTCTCTGTAAAATCGAAATAAAAATCATATTTTCAGTGAATTTATTGTTCAACAGTTTGTGGGTTGGTAATGAATCTAGTTATATCCATGAATCAACAACCATTTGTTTTAATTATGAGCTGTCATCAGCGTTGTGCTGATCATTACAATTGTAATAATTTCATTACAATTCACTTCTATCATTACATCATTACGTACATTTCAAAATATAGCTTAAATCATTACATTTCCTGAATCTAATCAAGGTCACGTCACAGATGACTTCTGCGGTCAGGACACATCCATTTTGAGAAGAAGTATGCTAAGATTGCTAAGAGACATCTGTTATCTGTTGAGAAATTATAATTGACAGTTGAGTAACACCCAAACTAGAGAGAGAAAGAGATATAACAGACAGTTGACAGTGAAACCTGTCACAAACTGGCATCAGTGTATCAATGATCAGTGACATCTGACTCTGAACCTGAACTCTGACCACTCTCACTGTCACTACTGACAGTGACATGCTAGTTTTATCTTTGATACATGTTTTACGTGAAGTATTTCACTTTGATTTTGCACGAAAAAATAAATAAATTTTTTTTATCATAATATAATGTGTTTTATTTTTTAATGTGCAATCTTTTATTTTTGAAAACGGCTAAATATGAAAATTGAGTCATTTAAATATAGGGTTTCTCTACATTACACCAAGTTTATGTTGGCAACATCAACTGTCATTACAATTCATTACATTTTCACAGGTTTGGTCATTACAAATTTTTTTCCTGTCAGCACAACCCTGGCTGTCATTCAGTATCTCGTAAAAATTCAATCCGAGCGTTAACGATCAAGAAATTCGTGTTACCCCACCAGATATTACCGAGCAAGCAAATATTGCGATGAATACTTTGCTGCCAGAAAAGTCAAGAGAAAAAATAGGAATATAATTTTGAAAATTTTATGAGTTGGAGAGAGAAGAAAAACAACCTCGTTATCATTATGGGCAATGTACTGCATTGTGAGAAGTATCCTGAATATCAAGAAAAATGTGGACATCAGCAAATATTCTAAATCACGTGCCTTTCTGAAAAGCAAATCTGAGCCATAATTTCAAACAAATATTGTATCATTCCTTTCTACGTTCAGTCGTAGAAAAATTATAGTATGCACCTCCAGGATAAGGCCAATTACGTCCACTCGCGAATTATCGCAGTCGGCTAACGCCTCGTGCTCACAATTTTTCGCTCGTGGGTAATAGGCTTCTTATCCTATTCGGTAGGTAGTTTACTATTGAATTTCTCCGACAGAACCATATCTGGATATTACCCACATCAGGATGTATTATACCTTGACTACCTCTGTATCTTTTTTGTTAAAGTTTCGTTCAACATGTTTTTCGCCACGCAAAACTTCGAATGACGTAGGTATAATACTCGGTGATATTCATCTATTTCAAACCTACTCAAGGAGCCGTATCTCAGATATTTATCAAATCAAAAATGAAATAGACGGTCTATCACCTCAACTCTGACCAACACTGACAGCACATAACAGAAATGCGACCGTAACCTTCAAAATGATTCACAAGTGAAACAAAAATAACGCAGTTGCAACCTTTCTACATCACGCATTTCACATCGATTTGTGGGACAGCTTGAATAGTGTAAGGGCCAATTATAATATGCATCAAATGCTTAAGGTTACTAACATATTCATTTGATATGGGATAATATCGTATCCGTTTAAATAGCTTCCCAATTAGCATATTACATGTGGACATTAAGTTATCGTACAGAATGTAGTGATTGGTTCTGTTATATCTCAAAAGGATTATGCAACGTCCATCTATTGGTGAAAACCGTCTGAGCATCCCTTCCCTGAATATTTTTAAGATTTTCGTGTTCAAACATGTGCGGTGGAGGGACTTTTTTCATAATGTGTAGTAATGATGTATATTTTGTTGAACGTCTAGAAACAAAGTACACATTATTATATCAAAAAAATCACATGAATCACAGATATACCACTTGAATAGCAACAACAATCCTGCAACAACGCATAAATATGATATCAATATGTATGCTCTCTATGTTCAGTATATTTTCACAGTAGTAGGAAAAATGGTTTGTAACTAACAAATCTTTTCGGCATTCATTGGTTCGACCGAACTCTTTGGGTCATTCCGACAACTGCCATCTCATGTGAAAAAGTATTACCCTCAGCATTTGTTAGGTAAACTATTACACACTCACTATTATAAAAAATCAGTATAAAAATTGTTATAATCAATCATCTAACGAACAATATCTCTTGTCAAAAACAATTAGTGAAACTCGAATTCTAGACTGTAATTTATCATATTTCAAATTGTATCGAATACTCGACCAATAAAATTTTTCTATTTACGTTTCAGATCACTAATTTGAATCCTGGCAATGGAGGTGAGGTTAAAACCATGACTGAAGCTGTTTTCGCTAAAAAATTGTTCGCCATTATTACTTCAGGATTAGGTCAACCTCTCGATTATTTGGTTTACATTTATACGGCATCATATTCTTGAGTCATTTTAAGTGCAGCAAGTTGCAGAATCAATCAATTATTGAAAACATTAAATGACTTGTGATTCTGTACTGATTTTAATTTGAAATTTCTCTAAAATACATATGTACTCAAATATTCGTTTTTGATCATAATTTTTACCCTCTTAAAGGTAACCCAGGCTGTGTGAAAGAGGCGTCAGTAGGTAACCCTCACTCAAATTTGTATGAAAGGACATAACTCTTGAACAAAATTCAATTGCCCGGACTCTAAAAAAGAAGATGCATAACCAGAAAAGAAGTAGACTATAAGATTCATTTTGTCCTTACGAATTCAGAATGATTATTCCAGAATGACTGATTTTCGCCAGAAATTATTCGCTGTTTCGGCTCTACATCATTTGGACTTTTTTTGATCAAGCAGAGAGATAAAATAGCTTTTGGCGGGAATGACACATATGAAATGGGATTATTACGAAAAAATCAACCCACAGTCACACTAAGTATTAAGCCAAACACATTATGTGCCTCTAGTGTGTTTTCGTCACATGAAAGAGTCACGTTCTAGCGTTCAATGAATTTTAATTTCATCAAAGAGAAAGGAATATAGACCTACAGTGAGTTTTGAAAAGTAGAAGAACTGCTCTGAAGATGCCAAATACTTGTACCGGCAAAACGTTGAGAATCGTTCATCAAATAACTTCACTGATTCGGAAATAAGCTCTAGAGGCAACAACTAAATTAAACAGAAAATACTTGAACAGCTAAATTATTAACGGCTCTGCCTTCTTCTTCTTCTTAATTTTTGTGATCTTTGCTTTCCTTATGCCGCAGTAGTCCAGATAAGCAAGCCTATGTAGTCGGTTTCAAATGATTTTTCCTGATCATAAACAAATAACTTCATTGAGGAATACACTGAGGGGAATCTATCTGCTTCCTTTAGAAATGTCATTGATTTATTTTTCCCACGAGGTTTAGTTCCACTTCATGAAAAATATACTACTCTTAGAAACAGAACTTATTGAAGTGGAATCGAAAATAGTTTATCAGTTGTTTGAATGGCATTTCCTCATCTCACTGATAAGCTCATAATAGTCTTCTTGTATTTTACAATTTATAATTAGTAAAAACACCATAGTTTTCTGTAGGCTTCGGAATCTTCGCTTTTGATGGTTATGGCCTTTCCTCTGAGAGAAATTATCGACTTCTAACCTATACTTTAGTCTTCATTAACTATTCAAATGGAAAACCCATAAACAAAATAGAGAAACCACGTAATTTGAACTTCTAAATATTATCAAGGCACCTCATCAACGAATTTGAAATTGGGGTATCGTAAACAATGAAAATTATATACCTTTCACTCCTCAAGATTCTACTCATAAATATAGTGAACAGTGAATCTATACTTCAAGCCCAAGAAAACCAAGATCCCTTCGATCCTTTGGGCCCCTTGGTCAGATGCGACTTTCTCCCGATCGAATTCATCGAATGCCAGGAACCAGTGGATCACAAAGGTAACAAAACTGCAAGGGACGAATTGAACCATGGCTGCCTCAAGTTTGGGGGTTCAAAGTTTCATGAAGTTGAGAAAGCCAAAGTCGTGTGTACTGTTCTACCGAACATAGAGTGTTTTGGAAACAGGACGTTTCTCCGGGATGGTGTTCCTTGCGTGAAGTACTCCAACCAGTATTTTACAACGACTCTGTTATATAGTATTCTGTTAGGTTTTTTGGGTATGGACCGATTTTGTTTGGGACAGACAGGAACCGCTGTGGGAAAGTTGCTCACGATCGGTGGGTTGGGAGTGTGGTGGATTGTGGATATTGTGCTTCTCGTTTCAAACTATCTAACTCCTGAAGATGGAAGTAACTGGAATCCCTATGTCTGAAAGAATATTATTTGGTGCTTGAGTACTTCGTTTCGTAACCACGCATTTTCTTCTGGGGAAAACTCACAAGTCATTCATTATTTGTAGTTCCAATTTCGCAGTTCAGTGAAGCTTTATTCTTCAAGACCTAACCCTAATGATGATGTGAGACAGTTCACAGCTGGTCCATTTTTAAGTTGTTATAGACTTGGAAACATCCTGTATGTATATTTTGTGAAATGCTCATTAAAGACAATGAAAACTTTTCAAAGGTAAATATTTAATAATGGTTAGAAAAGTATTTTCTTAAACAAGCTTTTATTGATGGATATTAGTTAGATAAACTATAGCTATGTATTTCTTCCTCTTAATTTAAAAATTTGTGGGAAACTACAAATAAAAGTATTTTTCATGTTTATGTGAATTGAACATATTTGTTGAGAGTTTATTCTTAATCATTGAACCGACAGTTTGAAGAAAAACAAGAATTAAAACCTGGAAAGTGAAAAAAATTAGCAGAAATTGTATTGTAGTGAAGAAATTGGTATTTTTTCAAAAGTTTGCCGCTCGATTACAAAAGGATAGTAGTTTGGGACTCAAATATATACTTTTATTAATGTCAAAGTAATTTGTATATATATATATATTTAAATAATAAGGGGTAAAACAAAAGTCTTGTGAACCAAAGTTTTGGGTTCAATTCCAAGTGATGCCAGTTTAATTATTACTTTAACCACCCAATTTTTAAATTATCAGAAATTGAATAAAACATGAATAAGAATTATTTCAAGAGGATTTAAGTTAATATTACTTCATTACTAACTCAAATGTTTTATGACAAACTTCATTCTTTTGAGAAATAATCACATTTCTTGTTGATTGTATAATAATAATAATAAATATACTTTATTGTCTGAAGATACAATAATCTTATCGACAAAGTGTAGACATTCATAAAACTTGATATATCATGGTTCACATGATATTGTCAATAAAATATTGATTCGATCAAGGCATGATAAACCTGCATTGCTGTCGCTGTACCTAGTTCATTTACAACGATGCGTAGTGCATAACCACCCGAGGCGATCCTTGAACCTAGCTGTCTAACATGATGCTGGAAGTTCAGTTCCCCATCCATGTGCACCCCTAGAAACTTACTATAATATATTATCGTTTTCTACTTCTCCCTTAATATAAAAAAGCAAATTTAAATTTTCTGAAACTTTTAGTACAAACAGTATTTATTATTAGGAATCAACTAACAAATAAAAGGCCGACAACTGAGAATATGTTTATTTTTAGCAGCAAACTGTTCAAGTCGCTACATTTTATATCTAAGAAGCAGGAGCAGAGTTAGAGTTTGGTCCTCGCCTGCGTCCGAATGTAGCTACTACATTAACGAACCTCCTGTTGTACTGGATACGCCTCTTTGCTCTGCCAGTCTTCTTCTTTTTCTTTTCTTGCTTCTCCACTTTAGGTGTTTGTCCTTTAACCTTACCTGTCAATAGAAAAGGAAAAGAATGTAACATTGATCAACTAAATGAAATGTGTAACTTATTGACTACAGGAAACAGTATTTTTTAATCTGAAGTAACAATATGGAAAATGTTGATTTCATTTTGAATGAATTTCAATTTGAAAAGGGTGATATCACAAATAGCGTCAAGGGAGAGACAAAAAATAGTGGAGGTATTGCCAACTGAAGAAAAAAATTGATTTTCAGAAAGTTGATTGAGGAATTGAAAATATAGAATAACAGTAGAAGAGCAAAAAGTTTTTGATGAATGCCTAGGTAATTGAGGAAAGTTGGTGAACTATTTATTAGTTATTTGCATGAAAATAATTTTTTTAAATTGGAATGGAATGTTTGAGACTTTCTATAGAAATGTTGAAATTGAACTTCATCATTTCCTCAAACAGTCCGTGTTCATTTTGCAAGCTTCAGGAAGATCAGTAGTAAAAACTCAACTACCAATCTGCTGTTACTTGCCGACTAAAAGGTTACTTATGACTTGTCCATTCACGTTCAACTTACCAGCACGGGCCAAAGAACCATGGACTTTTCCTCCAAGGAGACCAACAGTCAGTTCAATATCAACATTTTGGAATTCCGATACCAAACTTTCATCTGAAACTGGGATACCAGCAGCATACAAGGTGATCTCAGATTCTTTCAAGGACTCCAAAGAGGCAACACGGTCCTAAACAAATCGATCAATAAATTAATTCAATCATTCATTGAAGAAAAACAAAAAACTTCAACTACTACCATACAAAATTTAATTTCACAATAAAAAGTGTGGGTTATGTTTTTCGAGCGATATGTTCGATAAAGATCAAAGTACAGTACTTCCTGATAGGTCAGAAATAAGAACAAAACGCAGAGAGTAAAAAATTGACAACTTGTACCTTACCTTATAACTTTGCGATTACATGAACTCACACAATATTTTAGATGGTAAAAATGTTCGATACCTTCTATAGAAATACTGGAATACAAGTCCAGTACTTCCTCAAACAGTTCGTTTCTATTTTGCAAGGTTCAGGAAGGGCAGTAGCAAGAACACTAAAGACCTGCTGTTACTTGCCAAAGAGCATTTTTTAGTCTCACAAATCCTCATTTTCTGATTATGTTATTTTATTTAGGAAACATTGCTGAAGTGTAACTTCCTGACGAAAATGTTGCAAAAAAATTTAAATATTCATACCTTAATTTGACCAATTGTTAGCCCCTCTTCACACTCAAGAAAGTGGGTAGTTTGACCTCGAACGCACAACTGCATTTTGGAGTTTTTGGTTTCCCTGAAACAGAATAGAAAAAAACTTACAATCAAGCATGTGGAATCTCGTCTCGAAACTATCCCGTGATCCAGGAAAAACTGTATGATAAAATGAAGTCATAATTTAAATAATTAAAGTAGTCTTAATCTACAGTAGTAGGAATAAATAATATCCACTAAAAATAAATTGAAAACTGAAATAACACACCTCAACACGACTTTTCACAAAAAAAATTCTTGATAAAAGGAATGCTGTCAATTGTCAATTGAACGGAAGCGGATGAAAAGAAAAATTGTAATGGCCGTTTCCACAGAACATACCAACTGTCAAACGAATATTAAACTAACCTCAGAGTAACAAAAGACATTTAGAAACTAACCAGCACGGGCCAGAGAACATGTAATTTTCTTCCAAGAAGACCAACAATCGGTTCGATATTATCCACATTTTCGAATTCTGATACCAAACTTTTGTATTCTAGAAACACGTTTTGGTTGAAACTGTTTACTGGAAATCTCACAATAAAGTGTTTCTTGAATACGTTGGATTTTCATCATGTATTCGCCAATTACATCACATAACCAATTCATCTGAAACTGCGATACTGTATTCGGATTTTGAGAAAGCTGCATATCGAGGAAATAGAGGAAGAGAAATCACACTAAAACTAAAAACTGATTGGATACAATCAATTGTGTTCAATTGCTAGGATGGACAAAAATCATTTGACCGTCCCTGATATGAAATTCGCATAGCACGCATGTATTTTTTATGTTTTCTAAGGTGTGTATTCAATTTGTATTCATTAAATCGATTTTACCGATAAAAATTTAATTTGATGTTTCTTCAAATTCCCTAAAATTTGTTCATATATCTGTCTATCTCATTCTGAACGCTGACTATATAATACGTTGTATTATGAACTCTGTGATTTACTTGAAAGTGACCTTTATATAGAAAAATTAACCGTACCGCACTTCAGCTGAATACTCTCAATTAAAATAAGTTTACTTGTTCCACTCAGTATGCATTAATAATATTCTTATAACTGTTACTAATATCTGAGATTGAAAAACTAAGAAAAATCATTGTAACTTAAAAAAAAAAAAATTCGTTGGCTACACTGTGAATGAGTGAACAAACGTCAAATGATGAATTCAAAAAGTATGGTTATATTATTGTGTTTACAAACATAAAACTACTCGAATAGTTTTTCATTTTCATCACGATTATTTTTTTAACTTTCAGGTCACTAAAAAATCGTTCACTTGTTCACTTGTGGAGTAACATATAGCGCTTCAACAGAAGTGCTTTCGTGATTTTTTCGAATCTTACTATGACATCTCTCATGATGGATTATGAATTTAAAATGAAAACTCAGACGGAGAGGGTAAAAGTAGAAGATTTATTCGATTATGAGGGCTGTAAAGTTGGAAGAGGAACATACGGACACGTTTACAAGGGTCGTCGAAAAGATGGGTCGGATACTAAAGATTATGCTCTTAAACAGATTGAGGGTACTGGTTTATCGATGTCGGCTTGTAGAGAAATAGCTGTAAGTGCTTTCTCTGAACTCATTCTTCCTTCACAAAAAGATTTGTTATTTTCTTTTGAGTAAAACTGTATAATCAGCTTTCATCTGAAAAATGCTAGACTCCACACTTAGCTATAAATCACACATTTCATCTGTGGTTCAGAAATCCGTGAAGATGCTTGGCTTTATAAAGAGAATCACCTGCGATTTTACTAACATCAATGCTATTGAATGTCTTTAATTTTGAAATTTTTGAACAATTCTTGTGAAACATGTTTTATAACCTATTTTCAACTATAACTGATTATTTTCAGCTATTGAGAGAACTGAAACATTCTAACGTTATAAATTTAATCAGAGTTTTCTTATCGCACAACGACAGGAAAGTATGGCTATTATTTGACTTTGCCGAACACGACTTGTGGCACATTATCAAATTCCATCGTGCTGCCAAAGCAAACAAAAAGCCAGTCATGGTACCTAAAGGAATGGTGAAATCTCTGCTCTACCAGATACTAGATGGGATTCATTATCTTCACTCAAACTGGGTTCTACACAGAGATTTGAAACCAGCGAATATATTGGTGATGGGTGAAGGACCTGAAAGGGGGAGAGTTAAGATTGCTGATATGGGGTTTGCTCGCCTGTTCAATGCCCCATTGAAACCCCTGGCGGATTTAGACCCTGTAGTGGTCACATTTTGGTACCGTGCTCCAGAATTATTGCTAGGCGCTAGGCACTATACGAAGGCAATAGGTAATTTTTTTTAGTTCATGAGTTTTTTTTGAATTGGAAAACATTTATTGAATCTTTCAACGAAAGTGGAAGTTTGTTATACTCAATCAAACCTTTATAAAATAAAGACTTCATCATACTAGTCAAATTAGTTCGAGGAAGGTGGAATTTTTGGGAGCTACTAGCTCTTGTTAAGTGGTTGTGGATTTGAGTTTATATATATAGAATTCTTCAAAATAAGTTGGAAGCAAGTTATGTGTTAGTTTGAAAATAAATATCATTGCTAACTCGTACAGTCTCTGGGAAACAGACAGCCACTGCAATTTACTTAACATGTTTGATATACTAGAATACCTATTCTTTTGTAAAATAATCCTCATTCCACGATTCTGTAACTTTTGTAAAGCCGATACCTTATTCTGGTCAAATGAGTATAACAGACTAGCACAATAATCAAAATGGGGTTGGATTATACAATTATATAATGTAATTTTTGAGTACATCGAAAGCTGAGATGAAATTCTTGAGAAAAAATATATTTTTTTAGTAATTTTTCTATATATATAATCAAAATGAGCATGGAGAAATAAAAGATTATCCACCATGAAACCTAAGTATTTGAATTCACTTACGAACTCTATTACATCACCTGCAATTTGTAATCTTATGTTGAGATTGTTGATGAGTGATAGCTTATAACCAGTTGATAGGATCATATATTTTGTTTTGGAAGTGTTGAGTTTTAATTTATTGCTATTCATGTACTTGAAAATATTTCTTAGTTCATTATTCATTTGATCAGCTGGTGTTTCTATATTATCTCCTGAAATTGATAACAAAGTGTCGTCTGCAAAAAGGTTCATGAAATCACAACCATGGATGGTATCTATATCATTCAGGTAGATTAAAAATAATATAGGTCCCAAAACACTCCCCTGAGGTACCCCGAAAATGACATCGCAAGATGATGACACTGAGTCCTTTGTTGTTCCAGATGGATTCTTCCTTCTGGTTTGCATCTGAAAGCAATTTCTGGTTTTCACATCTTTGAGAAGAGTTTGTGTTGATATATTTTTTTGGAAGTTTCCTTTATGAATTGTTTAAAGAAATAGTAAGCCAGTAACTAATGTCTCCTTGAAAATATTTTCCCTTGCAATTAAGCAAATATTCTGCAATGATTGCTTTCATAAGAGAAAAATATCCACAGAATTTTCCAAAATTATAGGAATATCTTAGAAAGACATGTCGTAAATTTAGCTGAGTATAAAGATCTTCCTGTCCGTAATATAACTAAGTAGCCAGACATTAGATTGAGTTCTTTTCACGAACTGTCGAAATTTTCCAATGTTAAAAGAGAAAAATCTTTATCCATCTAGATATATGGGCAATCGGTTGTATTTTCGCCGAGCTTTTAACTTCGGAACCCATTTTCCACTGTCGCCAAGAAGATATCAAGACCAGCAATCCCTATCATCATGATCAGTTGGACAGGATATTCAACGTGATGGGATTCCCCCATGAAAAAGACTGGGAAGACATTAAGAAGATGCCCGAACATCCAACATTGTTGAAAGACTTTAAGAAAACAAGGTAGGTGTTTGGCCCAATCAAATGTTATATCTGTATAAAAATAAAAAATGTTGTAGCTACGTCAACTGTTCCTTAATAAAATACATGGATAGGCACAAAATAAAACCAGATAGCAAAGCTTTCCACCTGCTACAAAAGTTGCTCCTGATGGACCCAAACAAACGCATAACTTCAGAGCAAGCGATGCAAGACCCCTATTTTGCTGAAGATCCTCTTCCAACACAGGATGTTTTCGCAGGTATGTACCCTGTAGGATACGGCCTGCATCCAGCTTCCGCGCCGTATCATTATTGCCCGCGATCGCAGTGTGTCACAGAAAGAAGAATCGTGTTTTTTAGAACTTTTATACTTCACTTCCTCTACAGAAGTAGAAGAAGAAATTCGCACACTACATTTATAAGTAATTTCAAGGGCAGCGTATGCCTATACAAGCGAGAGAGTGTTAGTTAGGTACCTATTTAGTTTTAGTAAACAACTCGATCATAGACAGTAACGCCATCTCTTAGGAATGCGTGGAAATAGCCAATTGTTTTCGTTGAGAACAATAGAATCTTCCACGCACTGAATGTCCTGCGAGGGAGTTTTGTATACCATTATCTCCAAATAACCCCAGAGAAAGAAATCCAATGGCGTTAAATCCGGAGATCTCGCCGGCCATTCCAGAGCGGCTCTTCTGCCAATCCATTTGTCAGGATACCGTTGATCGAGCCACTGTTGGACATGCAATGCGTAGTGTGGCGGTGCGCCGTCCTGTTGAAAATGTAAATTTTGTTCGTCCAAGAGCGGGTTGTCTTCTTCATCAACTTGGTGTTCTAAGGACTGTGTTATGAGTGGATCGATTACATTTTCCAATAAGTTCAAATAAAATTGACCAGTTGAATTTTATTCAATAAAAATAGGGCCAATTATTTCGATTCCCAGAGTTCCAGCCCAGACGTTTATTTTTTGTGGATATTGCATATGATCCTCTTGAAACAAGGGTGGATTTTCATTATTCCAGTATCTACAGTTATGCTTATTTACAAAGCCATTAAGAAAAAAAGTTGATTCATTACTGAAGCAAATATTTTTTATTAAATTCGGGCCATTTTGAATTCTCGCAGTCATTATTTCACAAAATTCAAATTTCCTATCATAGTCATCCTCACTGAGCTGCTGAAGAATGCTCATTTTGTAAGGAAATAACTTGTTTAGTTTTAAAACTTTGTGTATAGAACCAACTGAAATATTTACTAACTTAGCGACTTTCGAAATTGAAGTAGTAGGCTCAACGGCGAATTGGCCTAAAATCTCAATCTGGGCGGCTTCCGTAAGAACTCTCGGCTGCTTTGTTGCACACAGAACTGGTCTCTTCAAATTCTTGAACAAGGTCTAGAACATATCGGTGACTCACATTTTGGCCTGCATGCCTTTCATTAAAAACCCGGGCTGTCCTACGAGCACACCTGTCTTCAGCACCGTAAATAAAAATATTTTCAGTTCTTTCTTGTAAAGTGTATACCATTACGATTTGTATTACTGTCAGTGCAACTGACACCACTTGACAAACAGTTTAAAATCAGGAATAACTAATTTTCCACCATTTAATTGTAACTGACGCCACGAAGCAACTGTGTTCCCTTATCTCACTTGCAGCTAAAGAAAAAAACTCTGTGTAAAAAAGAGACATTAACATACCGTTATTGAGTCAGTGGTAACGGTTCCATAAAATTTTGCATTTTGTTATAATTCATTTTCTTTTTGCCCTATTTTATGAGAACGAATCAACCAATTTCAGTTTTCTAAACGGGGTAGAGTGAGGATTTTTAAGATCTTTAAAATGATGTGTTACAAGGTAGGGGTGCCATTTAAAATTATTAAGTGGGGGTAGCTAGGGGTAAGGGGGTTAAACCTAAAATATCGTATTTTCGATTATTTATAATTGTCTTATTTCAAGGTTGTCCTATACCATACCCTAAGAGAGAGTTTCTGACTGATGATGACCAAGAAGAAAAGTCTGATAACAAAAGACAAAATCAACAGCAGCAGCAGCAACCTCAGCAGCAACAGCAGCAGCAGCAAACACAGCAGCAACAAGCGAATCAGCAAGATAGCCATAATCAGGCCAAGAGGGTTCGACTTTCTGGACCACAGGGGCATCCTGGACAGGTAATAATAATAATATACTATCTACGGCACTCTTACGGTATTGACGAGACACCGGTGTTACCCTGCGCTCCGGGAGGATATTGAGTCCGTTGTGGGGAACGAGAAGTGCCGAATTTATTGGAACTATTCGTTTCTCACCCTCAGGCTCATACAAGCTAATAAGTCTGATGTAGTCCTTCTCGACCACCAGAGCAAGACGATATTTGTCATGGAGTTTTCAGCTCCTGGCCAGACAAATATCGTCCGAAAAGAGGAGGAAAAACGGAAAATGTCGAGATTTTCTCTTCGAACTCCGCAGAGTCTATGCAGACCACTCTGTCAAGATGGTTGTTCTGATTAGTAGAGTCCTTGGTGGAATAATGCCCTCTCTACTCTCGAATCTTAAAATCATACAGGCTTGCCGCGCTAAGGCAGAAATCTTAGCCGGATAGATGCAGAAGGCTGTCATTAGGGCCTTACCAGCGCATATTTTGGTTAAAAAAAAAGTTAACGTTAACTGGTTTTTGAGTTTGATCTTTCTCTTGAAGATGATCACCTGCTGGCTGAAACACAAAGTCTGTGTTCCATCACTGATGACGCATGTGTGATGAGTTGCCCTGATTCAATCGTTTTATGAATCTTGCTAATATTTTTTTCAGATTCCTCTCACTCAGCAACAAGAATTCCACCAGCAACAGATGATGTATAATAATGGCTCACAGCAACAGCAAAACTTCCAGCAAAGGTTTTGAAATATTTTTAAGGAGGGATCAGTTGGGAGTTGCGTGATCCAGAAAAATTATCACTAGAAACTAGGCATAAATTCTGTTTCATTTGTTATATTACGTTTTCCACTGTAGACTAAAAAATAAAAGTTTCGAAAATAATATTTGTCTTTTTCAATAGATCGTATATGTTTATAAGCATATTTTAAGAAGAATATCGAATTTTTAACTAACTGTTCAAATGGCAATGTTTCTGAAACCAAAATGTAGAGTGTTATCCTGCAGCAGTTACTCATTGAGTATAATACATAATAATAATAATATTTATTTAACTTGTTGAATTATGCATTTTCTGGATTAGTACATAGTGATCAACACAGTCAAATGTTCCTGACCGTAAAAAATTCGATTCAATTCAACTCAATAAACGAAAAAAATCTGTTAGACTAACCGCTGCGAGGTATTTTGTAATAATATCTGTCGGATATAAGTCAATATCCTGCGTGGTATTAACCGGGGAAGTAGTTTTACGGCGGGCATTTACCAGAACCTACTGTTTAGGTATGTTGCAAGAAATGAATGTTTTCAGATTTCATTTCGAAATATTTATTTTCTCACACGTATCTCCTCGATACAATCTTTAGACTCATTCTGATTTCGATTCAATTAGTTTTTTAGTTCCAAAAACACTGTAGCTGCGTTTAGTTTAGAGTGTATTATTAAAAAATGATGAGTAGGAAAAAGAAAATATTTTTCAAATAACGAACACTATGTTGCCAATGTATATTTAAAAAATGTTTTGCCGTCAAAACTGAAACTGCAAAGTTGCTTTTAGTTAAGGTGTCTAAAGTAGCATCAACTAAAATTAACATAAAAAATGGTATAGGTCTCAAAACGGATCCCTGAGGCACTCATGTATTGTTTATCAGAGGAAATGTTAAAAATTCAACTCCAGAATTAAAAATTAATTCCAGCTGTTTCTGATACAACCTACTCATGAAATTCCACGCCAAATCTGTAGACCCTTTTAAATAAGATTACATGCATAATTGAGGCTGTACCTACTAAAGTTGCAGCGTTTGAGTTGGATTTTTACACTCTTCAAATGTACTGTGTTATCCCTATTTTCAATGAAAATAAGTGTGCTGATGAGGTAGTGTTGGTTACAATTTTTTTTTGATATTTGTTAGTACATTTTTAGTTTTTGTTAGTTTAAAAATCTGTTTCCGTTAATCAGCTATTTTGAAAAAATCCAATGCCTTGTTATCCAAAACTTTCAAACTAAACGTTTTTGATGACTTCACCGCATCTCAAACTTCTAATGGAAGCTCGATGCGATGCACCCTGGATATATTAGTAAGAAGTTTCACCATAAGAGAAATTATTTCTGTAGGACTGTGAAAATGAAGCTTATAAAAGAACTATAACAAATCAAATTTTGGATTGTATTGCATCGCAAGAAAAATTAGAAGAGAAGTAGTTGGAAGTTCAAATTGTGCATGAATTGAAATTTGGGAATGTATGTTTCCGTTCCTGTAAATAAAAAAGACAATAGTTATAAGAAAATTATTTATTTTATGAAATGAACACGAATTACATTCAGTTAACGTAAAATTGAACAACTACATACTAAAATACAGAAGAACGAAATTGTTTTAACTCATTAAACTGACAAGGCACATTAAAAATGAAAAATATTTAAGTCGAATTTATTGAAAAAACAAAAGTCCATGCTGCGGTATGGTGGCACAGCTAAATCTGACAATAAAAGAAAAGATCTCAATAGTCAACACCTGCATAGCCTTGCATACAGTCAACATGTGCCCAACAATATTAAAACACATCATCGACACATTGTACAAGTCTTATATAAAACTATTTTACTGCTAAAGCTAAGTTTTAGGCGGGCTGTGAATGTGCCCCTTTCTTCCCGATGAGAGACTTGTGGATGTGAGGGATGACCCCACCTCCGGCAATGGTAGCTTTAATCAGGCTGTCAAGCTCTTCGTCTCCTCTGATGGCTAGCTGCAAGTGACGGGGGGTGATTCTCTTCACCTTCAAATCTTTACTCGCATTTCCTGCCAACTCCAAAACCTGGAAAAACAGAAAATATACTATAGAGAACAACCTATACAGGGCTGCACTTGAGTTCCTTCCGACACCTGAAAGAAAGACAGCAGAGTTTCGACCGGGAGTTCGAATTCCGTCCACAATCTTTCTCCTACACTTAAAAGAATGCCCCTCCTCTTCAAGAAAAAACGACAATAATTACAACAAAGTGTTGCTTGCTTCAATAGGGTGTGATGTGTTCGTGAACTTTACAAACCTGGTTTCAAATTTTAGAATACGTGACAGAATTAGATTACACCTCCAGTCCGATACCAAACGTCTTACATTTCTCTCTTTGCATTTTCAAATGAGTAGTGGGGGTGCACGCAGGACAGAATTTTAGGTACAAATTTTGACCATAAGATGCAACTCGACCCGGGACGGAACTCTGCGTACTTACTGACCACAAGACAGAACTAGTGTAGCCCAAGGGACAAGATATTATGGCCCTTACACAATAATATTACAGATTGTAATGAACGAATAATCACATGCACAAATATATCAAATACTCAGTCTACCCCTAATCAACTCCGTTGAGGGTCACTGCCCGAGACTGACGATTGTGTCGTATCATATAAAAAATCATCACCCTATTATAATGACTTAGTTTTGGATAGAATATTTGATGTCCTTTCTCATCGAATCGAATATTATTCGATTCACAGAAGTTGTTTGATTGAACATTACCAAATAGTTTGTCAATTATTTGTTATTTTATATATCTGAATAAACTCTCACATGAAAAAAGTTTGCCTTCTTGGCAAGGAGTGATGCTATACTATTGCTTTTCTTCTAAAAAAATGGTAAACTGATTCCTTTTTATGCAAACTTTATTCGACCTCGATATCTTGTCCCTTAGAAGTAAAGAGGTGGGAGAATTTTTATGTGCACTATATAAACAAACTTACTTCAGCTGTAAGGTATTCCAAAATAGCTGCAGAGTACACAGCTGCAGTTGCTCCAACTCTACCATGACTTGTCGTCCTATTTTTGAGATGTCTGTGAATTCTTCCCACAGGAAACTAAAAAAAATAAAAATTTAAAATAAATTATATATGGGAAGGGAGGGGAGTAGCTAACCTTAATTTATCAAAAAATTATGAATCATATCTCTTTTAGGTTATCTACCAAATTGTAATGTCTACATTGAAATTTGTACACGTACCTGCAATCCAGCACGCGCTGAGCGAGATACCGCCTTCGCTTTGGCTTTTCCGCTATCTTTACCAGCTTTACCGCCTGCCTGAAATGTGATAGAAACAGAGATCAATCAACAATATATCAACAAACGTATTGTATAATCGTTTGTGACCACGAACAGCACAACTTATACAATATTTCCACTGCATTTTTAAAGAATATTGCATAAAACTCACCATTATATTTTTATCACAATTCAATGAACGCTTCCAACTTCCAATGCCAACAAACGACAATTCACGAATACACAGAACAAAACGGTCGCTGAACTGTGAGCGCGCCAAACGATAAACTTCCACCAATCGTTTTGTCAGCCTGAGGCACGTGATCTCAGACAGCCAACTGGATAACTGAAGTGTAGCGGGAAAAGTCTTTATTGATTCACTTGATAGACGCCATCATGGCTTCAGTTTCGAAGTCGAAATGGTTATTGCGTTCGGTAATTCAACATTTTAATTTATAGAACACTACGGACTGACATGCGTATCTGAATGCGCATGCTGATTCTGAATGAAGTATACTTTTCAACTTTCTATATGATTACGAATGAACAGAGGAATAATCGAGTGCTATTCATATATTTTACAACGTTGAATAACCGAACGAACAAGGAAAAACTTGTAACAAACGAAATACAAAAAATGCTGCCAACAAAAAAGGTTTTCGCAATATTGCTCAATAATTGATTTCGATAGTCATAATGAAGTCACATAATATTCAATCATAAGAACCAAATAATTTGTTTTTTAGATTGCATTTTTTAATTCATCTTTTATTTTAAATTACTTTAACTTCAATCGTTCTGGTGTTAAAATATTGTGCAATATCATGTTGAGCATGATACCTATGTTAGGTTATTATGAATTGTCTACTCGTTCTACCTGTGAAATATTCTGTGTGAGTTGTATATGTGAATAATTTGTGTTGACAAAATATATAAGATACCCTCCAGAAGGTATCCTAGATATCCAAAAAATTATAAAACTGAATATTTCAAAAACACGCGTAAGTTTGTGAATACAATTTGATCTTGCATGAATTCTCCAAACGCTAATGCCACTCGTGATCATTTCATGAACATTTAGAAAAACTGGACAACAACCATAATGTCCATAACTATTTATCAATAATAATACAATCGGCTACATTGTTATGAACAGTAGTGATAAAAATATTACATACATTTTTTTTCTTTCAAAAACAATCATGAAAACAATCCTTAAAAAGCATTGTATGCATGGACGTTAAAAAATAAAGGGACTCGGTAAACAAACCTATGTAAGGTATAAGATTTGACGAAGAGGAAACTGTTCGTCTTTGTCTACAAAGTTCTTCCACAAATTACATACAACATATTGTGATCTGTGGTTCTTCTTTGGAATAATTTACATAAAGTGCGACTAACTCGCGCCGTTCTGGAACGGTACCGATTATTTTGAAAACCAGAACGCATGTTACATTTCAAATAAAATTCCGAAATTATTCGTTTTCATTGGAATTCAATATTTGACGATTGCCACTGTTAACAAAATTTGGCAGAATCAAAAATTCACATGAAGTCTATTGGAATATAATTATAGAAGTTGTAACATGAAAACTTTTTTAAGAAAGAAATAAAATCTCAGAAATGAACTGAACAAACCATTGACCAGGGATTTTCGGCTTTCGAATAATTGAACTAGATGTCGCCCAATCCGGGGTCCTAGTAAATATGATGGTGTTATACTTATTTGACCCTCTCTATTGAGTTATTTAGATCAACAGAAGATGGAATTGTTTGAAGATGATATATTTTTCCAAACAGCATGTAGTTGCAAAATACTTTTACATATTGTTTCCTTAAAAGAACACTATGAATCAGCAAAAACGAAAAAAAATGTTAATTTTCTGGTAGTAACATATTTCGACTATTTCTCCATGTTGTATAGTTTTTTGTAGAAAATGGTTAGGGATATATGACATAAGCTTTGATTTGCTACACTAATCATAAGTTGATTTTTTTTCTCTACGGAAATAAGACACTAATTAAATATTTTTGAGTTATTTTAATATCTATATCTGATAGTACATATACAAATCTATTATAATTCAAAACTGTACAATAAAGTTTGCGTTGATAAAGCATGTGAATCTTTGGAAAATTATTTGTTACCTTATTTAAGTATTTTACAGTTTCACGAAGGCAGTGATGGGTAAAGACTTCAAACCAACCTGAATTAAGATATATTTTCACCAATCATAACCTAATAGCACCATTTTATTCTGCAAAGAATACATTTTATTCTTCATCAATGATATCTTCACATTTGTCTTCGATATCATCTTCGTCCAGTTCCAGACATTTGGCCCATTCTTTAATGGTGATTCTGTGACTGTTATCAATATCACAGGTATTCAAAAAGGGGGCGATGCAGTGCTCCAAAGCCATGAGTGGAGCTCGTATGGGAAACAGTTCGTGACGAGATACAGATCTAAAAAAGGATATAATGTAGACATGATAATGTTACTTTGAATGTAAATCAAGCAAACCTGTCTGGTGGGTTTCCATCCAATTCACAGAACTTCCAGATAGCAGCGTTAGTCCAACGGCGAGTCATGTTAGATTCTGCTTCACGTTCCATGTTCAGATAATGAGGAGTCAGCTCCTGACGATCAGCCAAATCTCTCATGATGTTGAACAGCCAGTCACGCATTCTGCGGGGGAAATCAGCCATTTCCTCTTTGGTACATTCCTGAAAAATGTCTGCATAATAGTAACCAACATTGAAGTTCCTATGAACTAATTGTTCATAGTGTTCAACACAAGTTTAAATTTTATGAAAGATATACTGAATTTCAAATGCACACAAAATAATCTTGAGAGAACGATTCACCGGAGCCTCGATTTATTTATTTTATCATTGAATCATTGAGTGGGTACTTCTATGTTCAAGGACACGGACAGAAGTCTTCAACAATTACTTTTTCTTTCGTGTAATCCGACGTTCTTGTGGAAATGATTGTTTTGGAAGAGCTTTTTCTTCCAGTTTGTATTTGAAAATAACTCCTATGCATGTACCTACTACACATCTTTGTAAAGAGTTTATTTTGAAATCAATTACTTTCTTTCTTCTTTTAGAAGTTTTCTACATCACATCATAAGCTGAACAAGTTCAGCTTATGATGTGATGTGATGGTAGTGAGAATTCCCTACATAAAAAACTAGAAGACAATGATTGTTTATTGTTGTTAGTACACTGAAAATAAATTTCCATAAAAATTATAAAACCCCCCGTGCAGCTGATATACTCGTAACTCTGTTTTTCATCAATAAGTTCAGTTCATCTATTTATCCCTACCCAATTAATAAGGTATAGTCTTTCATGGCAACAAAATACTCACCGGCATTTCCCGACATTCTCCGTAATACTCAATATGGACATGCTTGTATTGCGCGCCTTTACATTGTGGGTCTCCTTTGTCGCACAAGCATCGCTGCTGGTAGATGGCGCAGTCGGACGTCCATGTTTCGTTGTAGTTGGAGCAAACTTTGCGGCGCGATTCTGTTTCTACTGGACAACTCGGAATGCAGATACATTGAGGTTCTCCTTCGGAATCCACTTGGCAAACTCTTCCTGCTCCACAATGTACTTCCATGCAGGGATCTATGAACACATTTCAAATCATTTTAAGAAAACCACAGAGAGAGAGCGACATCTAGGTTGTTACTTCAAATGCCGGACCATAGAGAGGGCGACAACTAGGTTGTTAATTCAAATGGCTAACTTGAGCGAAACACTGATTATTGCCGCGAAAAACATTCAAATATTTGGTGTCCCATTCATTCATTGTAATATTCATTCACGAAAATGTTAAAGCCAGCTCTTCATAATGTTCAGTAAATCCAAATGATGTCGTTTAATGGCGCATTGTCTTAAATATATTTCTATACGCACCTTCCTCCAAGATAGGAACAGAGCAAAGAAATGAATGGATAATAAACTGACTGGCAGAAGTAAGTGTGTTTGTAGTTAGTAAACATTTGAATAGAGATTTGATTTTACTCTAGTACTTCCATGAATATATAAACAATTATCTAATGTGTTATATTCTACAGATCACAGGTTGGAACCGTATGAAAATATTTATCCATCACATACATTTCTCAATGAAATAATTATTCTGAATTAAAAACGAAATATCTTGTCATTTTCTCGAAACATCAAGTTTTCCTTGGGTTTCGCAGCGCCATCTAAGGGTCAACATGTGAAATGTTTTGTCAACAGAAGTTTATTCGTGTTACAGTTTATTCAAATTTGAATGGAAGACTATGAATTTGAACTTCATGCATTGACTCAATTTTTGAGTCAATGCATGACTATTTAAGAGCTGGTAATTCACCAATAATACCTTAGGTGGAGAACAGTAAATCCTAAATTCTTCATATTCATTTCATTTTAAATTTGTAGAAAAAAAGATATCCCAATGAATTCTCAAATGCTGACAGCACTGAACAGTGATATTTACTTCGATTAATATTTGCTATTCTATCCCGATAGTCCTGTAGCTAATCCTCAAGCTATATTTTCGGAAAGTCTATACGACTCAAAAACTTACCCAATACACGAACTCTGTTGTCAATGAAATCCTGAGCAGCGACTTGAGGGGGAGCCCCAACAGAACCTGCATCTCCATCCACAGCATTTTCAGCATCATCCTTTTCAGAATCAGTATTTTTAGCGTCGTCAGCTTCTTCAGCTGCAACCTTTTCAGCCTCCAGCATTTCTTCCAGAATCTCTTCTGAAGCTTTCGGCGGCGCTATATGCTTCCTCCTGAATTTCTTATTTTTTCTCTATGAAAAATATAGAAGAAGAATGATTTTGTGACCGTATTATCTACTATCAGATCCTTACCTTCTCGAAAGCATAGGCATCGGTGACTAGTAGTACCAGTACCACAACTAAAGTGAGGTGTAGGAACCTCATTTTGTCGGAAACAAAAATCTGAAACAAAATATGCGTTATGACGGTTCACATATTTCAAAAGGATTCAACATGTTATACATTGTTTCATTGTTGGTGGAGAAAAAACAAGGAACAGTCAGACTCTTTCGGACTGACTGAAGAAGTTACACCCCTTTGCTTCCTACAGTAATCACAACCTTTTGCCAATAAAATATTCCGCAACTTAGTATATATCCTTATTTGATTGATGAGGTCATATTCCTTGTTGAATTTCGTTATATTATAGGTAGCTATTGCAATCTTTCAAAAGAGATATCGTCTCTCATAGTCGAGATTCGAAAGTCATCGATGATTTGACCTTGGATTTGACAGATGATGAATCAGCCAACCCTATAAATAATTTGGGATCACTAATGCAGCAAAGTAAATATATATATATAGCGTCCTTCAACAGGGACTTCAGAACTTTGATAATCGATACTGGCCAACTTGTTGAAGCTACATCTGTTAAATTAGTTGTCATTTATTCAGTCTGTTTTGCCAAATCACAATGGATGGATATAGCATTCAACAACTCGTGCACAAAGTGGAAATGAACCAAATATAAACCACATATGAACCACATCAAAGAAAGCTAAAAGTTCATCTCCTCTGTTGATGAAAAACAGATTAATTTTGTAATGTTCTGCATTGGCCAAGTTTTGGAGAACTTTTCAGATTGTTCATCTCTTTGTCACTTTGCAAAGTTTATTTTTTATGTGATAATTCTTATCACAATTATGCCATCCGCTGAAATAATGATTATAAGGAGGAAATCAAATGATAACATTTGCAGCGCTTTGTCCATGTTCCTGTCTGTGTAGGAATGCAAATATTTACTCCAAATGTCTTGCAAATTATCTCAGGCACTTCAAATAACGCTCAGAAATGTATTTGTAGAATTGTTCAACTCACATAGCATGCTAATAATTGATCAGATTATAATTTTTCTATGACCACTTTTGCAAAAGGGTGATGCAAACGTTGGAAATATGACCCACGTTATGGCCAAGTCAATTTCTGAAAAACTCCCTGTATCAGTAAGTACCGAACATGAAGATTTATCCTTGGTTTATATCACAGTTTATAATCACTCGTAAACTGTTGAAACACCTTGCAGATCTCAAGTTAATAAGTTGAAACAGGAACTAGGTATTCTAATTTCGGAGCACAAATTCTTTTATCGTAAAACCTCTCTCTTGATTTGCAATAAACATGTTCGTTCTAATTCCAGCTTTTGGCGGAAATGAGTACTGTACAAATACTTAATATAATTTTATATTTATAGAAAACACTAAAGCATTGTGGATGTGGTTGTTCTGAGAGTACGGATGACATCAGAATTCAAACACTCTTTACTTAATGTTTAGAGTCTACTAGGTTGAATGAGACCCTATTTAGAACGACGAGAGCAAAGTAAACTACAGAATCTTATGAAACGATCTTTTGAGTCTTACCTACCTTTATAGTTGGGTGCAATCACAGTAAATCTCAAAGTATTAACTGACAGTGTGAGATAAAGTTATACCACTGAGTTTCGAGTTGAAATCTAAACGAAATTTCAACAATTTTTTTACAGTAATCCACTTAGTTGTTGAACCGTCTTCAATTGATTGAATAACTGTGAACAGCTTCAAATCGTTAACATACAATAAAAATATGCAATGGTTGAAAGAGTCATTAATATAAATAGAAGACAATAGTGGTCCCAAGCGAAAGCCTTGAGGAACACTCGAGGTTACAGAAGATGGGTATTATTTCTATCCGTGAACGAAATCAATATGAGATCTTTTCCAGAGATAAGATGCTAACCACCGCAGTGAACTATCATGAATACATCAACTCCAGCAACAATCATTGACGTCATTAATATAAATCGAAAACAATAATGGTCCCAAGCGAAAGCTTTGAGGAACAGCCAAGGTTACAGAAGATGGGTATTATTTCTATCAATGAACAAAATTAATATGAGATCTTCTACAGAGATAAGATGCTAACCACCGCAGTAAACTATCATGAATACATCAACTCCAGCAACAATCATTGACGTCATTAATATAAATCGAAGACAATAGTGGTCCCAAGTGAAAGCCTTGAGGAACAGCCGAGGTTACAGAAGATGGGTATTATTTCTATCAATGAACAAAATTAATATGAGATCTTCTACAGAGATAAGATGCTAACCACCGCAGTAAACTATCCATGAGTACACCAGCTCCAGCAACATACTTCAAATTGTATATAAATATATTATATCTACTTGAATAGATTTGTGAGCATATAGGGTCAAAAAAGGAAGTAGTTGACTTTAAAGAGAACCCTGCCCATTGATGTCACTCAGAAGTTTCTTGCAAAAATCTGAATGCGGAGCCGGGATGGCTCGCTAGTTGAAATATAACAGGAATAACTTCAGGGAGATAGTGAGTTGAAACGCTTGTTTTAAGGACACTCTATATATGTAAAAATACTCAATAGCAGGACAAACAAAATTTCAAATATTCTAAAATTTCTGTCTTCTACCTGTTATACACCATGTATGACTTGGTTATGAACGCTCGGCTGCTTATTTCTTGCAAGGCATTTTAGTACTCGTAATGATATCTGATATGACCTCGTTTCACAGGATCTCTCAAAGAAACCTTTGACATATGCTCTTTATAAAAAATCGTAAACAAAATATCGTGGACATGTGGAACTTTTTATAACTAATGATAACGCTGAAATTTGTATTAGAAAACAAAACAGGACGAAGAAGTATTATTCAGAATGAATTTCCATACTATTGTCCTACCCGTCATTAGAAGTAGGATAATACTAATGATAATAAAAATAAATTTTTGTTAGAACAGGCATCCGAATTCACATGCACAATTTTATTGGTCATAATTATGGAGACAATATATTTTTATCACAAAGTCCCCTCCGACACGTCTGTCTGTAAATATGCACACAATACTCTTCTCTAATTGGTCTATAAAAGTCGGCGATGGCATATGTCTATCTTTTAAGGATGACTTAATATAAGTGCATAATTATTTTAAAATAAAAATTTGCAGTTGAGAACACAGTTTTGTTCAAATTAATTCTATTTAGAGTCATTATTATTACATACAAGGTTAAACAAGCAGGGGTTGGTCGCTTGTTGATAAAATAAAATGAAACTGTACAGATTTCCATGTTCTTCAGTGCAAGTTTATTCTAAATTTCCGACAAGTTGAATTATTGGAAATATCTTTCATATTTGAATGAATATTTTACTTTTTAGCGACATTGATCTATGCAAATTATCGGTGGATGCGCTACATGGTAAAATAGTGACTTGTAATATAATGTAGTGAGACGAAACATTTTTTTTATTCATAACGTTGAGGTTTTAGATATAAAACTACTTTTTGCAGGATGAAAGTAGCTCTAGTGTCGCCCACAACACTGTAAACATGACTCAGCCACCGTATTCACCAGATTTGACCCCCTGCGACTTTTTTCTGTTCCCATGAAACGACGGCGTTTTGCGACGATTGAGGAAATAATTGAACCGCTGAGGGACCCCAAAGACATACCAAAAAGTGCATATCAGAACTGCTTACTTAGAGGATGGGAAAAACGCTGGCATAAGTGTATCATATCTGAGGAGGACAATTTTGAAGAAGACAACATAGAAATTGATTAATTGATAAATATTTGTTGAGAAAAATGAAAATTCACCTTATTTTTTGAGCGTACCTCGTATATACCTAGATATGTCTTTTCTTTTTTCAGTGTTTTATTGAATTGAACGTTGGAAGAGAGTGGTCATCATTCAGAAAGTTTTTTTTTATGAATAAGCCGGAATATTTCGTTATTGCGAGAAACCAATTTCCCACCAAACAAGTGCTGAACCCATGAAAAATGTATACGGTAACAGCACATCTGTTGGCTTTTCCGAGAAAATAAACAACAGAATTGCAAATAATAGATGATTCAAATTTGCTAACATCAGAACCAACTGAAATAACCACTTATACTGCTGGAAGAGGTATTCCAAGAACTTACCTAGACCAGCAAGAATTCCTTGGGCAACCGATCACTCTTTCCACCAAGAAACGACTGACTGTCGATGGATATTGGCGTTGGAGTATGTATAGACAGGCAGTTGAGAAGCTGGGAGAAGCGAGATCATTAGTATGGTCAAATTAGGCCCTAACCCAAAAATGCATGTATACAAAAGATTGGAGTGTCTCAAATTATCCATAAAACTTCGTTGAGGATGCGGTAAAAAGTTTCCTTCGTCAGAAGGTTGAGTTGGTTGGAGGAAAAGTTGCAGTATGTTTATGAATTGTCATATTAATTTTTCTAATAGGACTAACATAGTTTCAGAGGTTCGGAGGAGTAAAGTTAACACATTTCCAAATAAATTGTGAAGAAAAAAGGTATTGTTGTAACTCAGGTGTACTGATTTCTTCAATAAAAGCAAAGAACGTGTTCAATAATAACCGAAATAAAATTTATAGACAGACCAGTTTTGGTCTGGTTTTTGTTTTGGAAGATGTTACCTATTATCCAATATATAAGTTTGAAAATGTCCTTATAGGATGAAACTGCAGTAACTTTAGTTACAAATAAAAGTGATAACAAACATAGAAAGTTTCATTTATCTTTTCTTCATTGATTAATCAATTGGTTATAAAAAATTAAATTTTTTTCAGCATTTTTGAAAAATTATTTTCTTATAAATACAAGTATTCTACTTGAAAAACATACACTTATTTATTTGCATGCTACTTCCTGAGCTTTTCAATTAACTAAGTTCAATAAATAAAAAAAATATTGTTTTAGTCAGATTAAGCGAATCCCTCTAGATAATCGTCAGATTATGAGACAGCACGTCTTAAACATAAAGATGAACCATATATATCTTAATCTGACGCGCTTGAGTATTTCAAAATGGCGATTTTTTTTGCACATTATAATAATGGCCGCGAGTTTGCGTCAGATTGAAATCGTCAGACTAATGACAACTACACATAGTAGCCAACATAGCAAAAATATTTGTGTTACAAATGAAATCATTTTTCGATATCGTCTATCCGTTAAAGTTCGAGGGTAGACGGAGACGAATTTTCACTATACTTGTCACCTGTCAAAGCCACGACATAAATTGGAAACTTAGTTTCCCATTTATGTTAGGGCCATGCACTGAGAAGAGTTTTGCTTGAAAAAAAAAAACAAAAATCTGGGGTTTACGGGATTCTTGACTAAAATAATATCGATGCTGCAAAATACAGATCATACGTATCACCCAGAAATCGATACAAAATTTCAGCAACGCCTTTATTATTATCATAAGCGAAAGGCTTTTTATTGAATATTTCATTTCAAATGTTTTTTGTTCTTTTGTATTGAAAATGTAATACTTTTCAATAAAATAATTAATCAGAGGAATTAACCCCACATTGTTAGATAAAGATTTAAAAAACTTTCAAATGAACTATATGCGCACTTATTCTGATTGGATACTTCAAAGGGAATGCTCTGTCACTTCAAGAGGGTTGAAAGGGGCGATATAAAAATATTCCCGAAAATTTGACATGTGTCATGACATTTCAATAAATAGAGTTCATTTGGCTAATAATAAATATATGTGATACTTTACGTTCTGTATCTGTAGAGTAGGGAGGTTGAGTGAAGGACCACAGCACTTAGGTCACATGTGACTTATTGTACATCCTCCCAAGGAGTAGTATTCCTAGGTCATCGTCCATCCTGTCCTTTCCAGGAAGATGGACAGGTCACTAGGAGACATCCCCAGCCACCTCCATACATTGAGGTGAGCACTTCCGGATTGGTTTTTGTTGCGTCTGTTTTTGTATTTGTTTCAATCATGTGTATTCCCACGAGTAGCAAGGGAAGAGTTGATCTCCTCTGGCACAGCCCCGCAGATACTTTATGATACTTAACTATATGTTGATGTTGGCTCACTAAATCTGTGAATGATGTCGAGAAATTTACGATAATTTCTGAGTGTCTTCAACAGATAGGGTGCTGCTGCCCCCCACACTCATGGTGGGTAGAGAGAATTTTTATCACATTCAGGGTGGAAGGGACGAACAACTTACAGAAAACAAACTATTTCCTCTCGGAATCCCGGGTTCGGGCGCTTTTTTGTTTAATTTTCCTGTATTATACATGCACGCTTTTACAATCGCCCACATCTGCACTGTGGAATACATAAACTTCGTCTCTCGCTTCCCGCAGAAGATCTTAAACGCGTGATGTAGCTACCGAAATTAGAACATGTATATGTAATCAATTTAGGCTTAAATGTTTATACATATGCGTGACCTATTATGATTCTCTTGATACATAATGTCATCCTCGATGAGGACACTGGTCCATCTGATTGTCGCTCTAATTGCGACCAGAATAAATTATATGAAGTGCCATGTAATTGTATCAATTGAACGCGTTTTTGTTGCACCGTGGCATTTAAAAGATAGCACCTATATATGCGTTTTTTCATACAGTGCGTTCTAGTTGAAACGTACGGAAGCGTAGAAGGGCCAAATATTATTTGTTTATTTGATCCATAATTTCGACTTGAAAGTCAAAATTTCAACTTTTATCTCGTAATTTCAACTATTATTTCGTAATTTCGACTTTCATCTCGTAATTTCGACTTTTATCTCGTAATTTCGACTTTTTTCTCGTAATTTCGACTTTTATCTCATAATTTCGACTGTTATCTCGTAATTTCGACTTTTTTCTCGTAATTTCGACTCTTATCTCGTAATTTCGACTTTTATCTCGTAATTTCGACTTTTATACCATAATTTCGACTTTTGTCTCGTAATTTCGACTTTTATCTCGTAATTTCGACTTTTATCTCGTAATTTCGACTTTTATCTCATAATTTCGACTTTTATCTCGTAATTTCGACTGTTATCTCATAATTTCTCACTTTTATCTCGTAATTTCGACTTTTATCTCATAATTTCGACTTTTATCTCGTAATTTCGACTTTCATCTCGTAATTTCGACTTGAAAGTCATAATTTTGACTCAAATCAATAATTTCAACAATAATCATTTCGAACTGATGTTGAAACAAGAACAAATATTTCAGTTGAATATACATTTTTGAAGATGCTCGTGTCAATTATATTTCATTAAATTTTACCACACTATTTATTATATCTCATCTTCACACTTAAAAAATTTGTAACTTTGAAGGTAATTGGAAGATATTTCTTAAAAGGAGGATGCCCCAGAACTTCACGAACCGATATGGACAATGAAAATGAAGTAATGGAGAGGATACAAAAAGCCTTTCATGAAGTATTTACTGAATCAACAAATCGACCATGTTTTTTTGTATGGAAAAAGCATGCACAATCAAAGGATAGAATCTTGGTGGTCTATATTACGTAAATGACGTGTCTTTCAAGTTGAAAGACACGTCAGATGAAGCCATTGTATGGCGAAACACGTGTTGCGTTTTTGTAAAACAATTTAGTGAAAATCTCACAATAAAGTGTTTTTGGAATACGTTAGTTATGGATTTTCATCAAGTATCGGCCGATTCCATCATATATCCGAAGGTTCAATCAAAAAATGAGTAGGCTTCGAATATTCAATAAAATCGGTTTCTGTCATATTTCTTCGTAAAAAATATACCACTATGAGAAGATTGGAGCACTGTCGAAATGATTTGAAAAGAGGGTCGAAATTTCGAGATAAAAGTCGAAATTACTAGATAAAAGTCGAAATTACTAGATAGAAGTCGAAATTACGAGATAAAAGTCGAAATTGCAAGATAAAAGTCGAAATTATGAGATAAAAGTCGAAATTACGAGATTCGAGATAAAAGTCGAAATTATGAGATATAAGTCGAAATTATGAGATAAAAGTCGAAATTATGAGATAAAAGTCAAAATTATGAGATAAAAGTCGAAATTATGAGATAAAAGTCAAAATTACGAGATAAAAAAAGTCGAAATTACGAAATAAAGTCTAAATTACGAGATAAAAGTCTGAATTACGGGATAAAAGTCGAAATTACGAGATAAAAGTCGAAATTATGAGATAAAAGTCGAAATTACGAGATAAAAAAGTCGAAATTACGAGATAAAAGTCGAAATTACGAGATAAAAGTCGAAATTACGAAATAAGTCGAAATTATGGTGGATCAAATAAACAAATAATCTTTTGCCCTTCTACGCTTCCGTAGAAACGAGCCACTTGGTGTACAGATGGCTCATAGACCCAAGAAGGAGTGGTCACAAATAAATCCATTGCCATTTTCTCCGACAGCCAGGCGGCAATTAAGGCGCTCAGCCCATTTCAAGTCTTCCCAAGACTGGTGGGAAGCTGTCTGAGCACACTCAAAAAGCTGAGTACCCAAATTAGGGTTACTCCAGCTTGGGTACCCGGACATGAGGATCACAAGAGCAACGAGGAGGCCGATGTTCTAACCCGTGAAGGCACATCCAAGGCTATGATTGGTCCAGAACCCTTCTGCAGGGTAGCGAAAGCATGTATAAAGACATCCATAAATTCATGGATGCAAGCCGAATCCAACCACTGATATTTTTGATCTGAAAAGAGATTATTGTAATTCACCAAAATAGAAAAGTTTTGTCCAATTCAACAGACCTTGTAGGTCGTACTGTTTCCCAGATAGCGATAGTGGGACCAGCTAAAAAACGGACTGTTTCTATAGTACGTAACTTTACAATAATAATTTCAAGGAATGCTCTTTAAAATAAATAAATCCCATGACAAGCTTCTATATATCATGTAATTGTGTAATGTTAATGCAATAAAAAAAATTTTTTTGATCATATAAATTAAAGTTTGTTTTTAAAAATGTTTTTTACTGAGAATTCATTATTTTTTTCCATTTATCTCTAGTTCCGTTACAACCAGTACTTTTTCTTTGAGGATTAACCGACGGGGTGGCAAATATTATTTGTAAAGTAACTCTGTCCTCTGCAATGATGTATGAATGACTGAATTTAAAAGTTTTTAATCTATCTTATTAATCCTCTCTAAAATTCTAATGAACGCAGTTGGCGGCACCTCGTTACTGATTACTTTAATAAACATTTAAGAGCTATGGCATTTAAAGAAATCTACTATAATTTCATTAGAAAACCTTGATACTCATCACGTTTCAGCTATTCGTTACTAGATGAAGCCAGCATATCAAAATCATGGTGATTTACATTCCAATCAAAATGTTGACCTAAGTATTTAATACTTTTCCTCTAGAGTTTATAGCGTAATGTTGAAAGAAGCTTGTGTTATTAATAATTCATGACTAGGTAATTTTTGAAGGAGTATGATTAGATGGCTATTCGAACAAATATCTACAAAATGGAGTTGATATTCGTAGGTATGTCGAAGCAAATTGTTGTTTCACATATTGATTAGGTATTCCAACTTGTTTATGAATAGTTGTTGAATGTCATTTGTGAAATAGTTGCTTCATACCTACCTCCACATGTGAGGGCAAGTGATGCCCACGGTAACAGTGAACATCGTTGTCAAAAATGAAAATTTCGCCGAATTATCCAAAAATCAATTAGAGACAGCTCAAGATAACTTTAAGACTTTGCCGTTATCTAGGTATTTCAAATTAAACGAGAGCTACATATTCTAAGCTTGAGTACCTGAAACATATTTTTTAAAAGAACACTAAAGTGCGAAGAATTTATGAGGTTTCTTCAGAGCCGGATTTGAACGTTTGGAGGCCTTGGCAACGAAGGAGTGGAAGTCCCTAATTATTATTTATTTGTAAAATGAAATAAATAATTCTTTCTCACTTTCAAAAATTTGCTGACAGCAAATGAAAGTATTATAACAAAGATTTTAGTAAAGTCAAATATAATTTATTAAAAAGTAAATTACCACGTTAACGCCCTCCCCTAATTCTGGCCCTGTGTTTCTCACAGTTTATTATTGATGGATTTATTATTATTTCGATTGAATAAACTTAATTGCCTCAAGAGCCATAGCAGTTTGACAAATAAAATTCATTTGGTTGAATTTTGTAACGACCTAAATGCGATATTGGGAAAAGCATCTATGTAGCAGACGTTTTCAGGAGAAAATAAACATTTTCCCAAATTAGGTACATCATTTAAATGTCATTAACGATGGTTCAAAGTCATTTTCTAGAGATTTTAAATTTTTTATATTTTTTTAGTATTCTTATCTAGGTTTGAAGCAATTTTTGAATTCACTTTGTGAATACTTATTCTAGTGTGAAGAACAAGTCTGTCTGAGAGATTCCTCACAGCTGGTGCAGGTGCGTTAATCATATCTTCCGTTTTTATTTATGAAAGACTAATATATGAATGAATTATTATATTGAAACTTTTTGTTCGTTGTTTTACACAATCGCAGCTGTTCAAGACTGACACCATTGGTAAGTTTATTTTTTCTGAGAGACATTCCCCTAACTTTCATTGGCTGCTTTCATTTTGAGATCATCGAGTCCTAGGTTTCTAAGCTCTGAAATATTCGTGAATGGAATGTAAAATTACATTAAAGATTATAACATTTAACAATTCAAACACAAATAAGTATACAGAGACGAATTAAAGTAAACGTATCTCTATTTATAACATTATTTATATTAGATTTGACTTGAACGAATATATCTTAGCTTATTTGATATCATCCTCACTGTTTACAAGGATTGTAGTAGGTAATCCAATCCTCTTATTGAACACAACACATTTTTTTATAATATTCAAAGTATTTGTATAGTTCTTTCATAACAGTGCCTCTACGATTTTTCAAAGTCATAATTCATCAAGAGCGTGGCTGAAGTTCTCATCTAAAAGGAATACACAGCAGTCGTTAGTGTTAACAGTTTAACTGGAAATCATAAAAATGGTTTAATAACAGAAATGCTTGAAATAACAAGTCTAGAGATGATTAGTTGAGGAGACAATTAGTAAAATAGAAAAGCAGTTTGTCGAGCTTAGAGACAGATGAAGAAGCAGCTGTCAATGTAATAAATGATAATTCAAAATTGAATATTAGGTATGCTTGAGTTTGAGGAAAATCCACATACTTCTAGTCGGAGAGCAGTCCCAATGTTATATGTTAGCCATCGTCTCAGGAGCTCCTGAAAGACGATTTTATCAGAAAAACATATTTTTGTGGACGAAGCATGACATTATTAGATAAAATAATAGAATCCAATCAGAAATTTTTTTGTTTACTGATGATAACACCTATACATGTCACGGACATGCTAATCGTTTTGCCGCTATCGGTTTTGGAAAAATCCTCACTAGATGAGAAAAGAAAATACCCAATACCTATACCTATCCTAGAAAGATTTATGTGTGGGCAGACGATATCATCGGTTCCATTTTATTGATGGTAGTTTGAATGGCGGACTGCTCCAAAAAATGTCGTGTCAACTTTGACAAAGTTAGATTCCGATCCAACAAACCCTCAAGTTTCAGCGAGATGGTGTCAGCAGCATGGAGCACCATCTAATTGCCAAATGCCCACAACACCTCAACAGAAAATTTCCAAATCGGTGAATAGAAAGATGAGGACCGCTGGAATGGCCAGCACGAATTTCTGATCTGACGTCATTGGATTTTTCAAGATACAAACTTGGAAGAAAGCCAATTCAAAACAATATGAATATTGAGTTTTACGAAAATCACTTTTTCATATTCAGTTTGTTCCTTAATGATGTATATCGAAGTTTTCTTTATTTTACTACGTTTTTCAGTGATTTTTCAATTTTGAAGCAAATTCTAGTAGTTATTTTTCTTCCAAAATTCCCAAACATTATGTTCTATATTTCCAATATATCTGATTTCACCTTTCATTCTTTACTGATTTCTTTATTTGACATTCAGGTTATTCTTGTCGGCTAACATCACATTCTTCAGTACTCAATTTCTATAGTATTGTTATTATAACCTAAATAACCATTGCTTTTCTTTGTGAGTGACTTCTTTATCGCAAACGCGGGAAACATCTGCATCTCGAATGTTCCTCAAAATATTTTTAGAGTCTTTAGGTGAACTTGAAAAGAGCTAAATTCGGCCCATCATCAATCAGTGCGCTCGGCCCACTTTTCCGATATTTGTGAGTACATATCATCAATTCTATAATCAAATATGCTCAATGACAAACGTACACAGCAAGCGCAAGAAAATCGACAATACCTTTCATGACGTAACTACTCATTTTAGATATTTTGTCATCTCCTCAACACTCGAATCACAGAGCTGACCTTCCTATTCCGCATGTATATTTAGAAGTATCCGTGGTCCGCTCGACTATTACTCGGACCGAACTATGCCGCTATAAACCAGAAATTTCGAATTGTATTTGAATTTGTAGAACAGCGCTCAGTCAAGTTATAACTTCATCGTGTTTGTTTATTCGTACCCAGCAAAAATTCGGTAATTTCTAGGTGAGTTGACGTTACATGACTTTTGTCGATACTTTTTACAGTTACTCGTTTTTTTAGCGATGTCTGAAACTAAGGCCGATACCGTTCCCGGTTTGGGATTCAAAGATAAGGAGAAGGCCGAAGAAACTATTAAAAATTTGGAGGGCAGAGATCCGGATTACCAGCGGTTGGCGATCAAGGGACTGATAGGGAGAGCAAAAAGAACACTAACACGTGAGTTTTTTTAAATATAGAAAACAAAATCGCGCATTCGTTGCCTACCGGGCGACTGCGAATGGTGTTGAATCTGGTTGGAAATTGCAATTGAGAGTAAATAACATTTGAAAACTTCACATGAATAATATTTTCAAACCCATTGTTTCCACATGTGAGGTAAACTTATATGACTATCGAGGAACTGACCAGAAATCAAATGTCTGAAATACTTTAACGGATAAATGAGTTGCGCATATACAGTGCAGTGGTGCCAACTGCGACTTTTTCCCATAGGTTCGCATAACTTTTCAAGATAAACTTTTCGATAGGCGCATACTTTTTGAAAAATATTTTGGGTGAACTCACGTATTTTGATGTGCTTTTACGAATCCGAGAGAGAAAATCGGTGCTGTCTCTCATTTCCAGAATTCCAGCCCTCCAAAGTTTCGAAAAATGTAATTTTTCATTCTCCTCTTTGCATAATGAAAACTATAGAAAAACATATATTCACTTCCACTTTCATTTCTTATCTCTCTTTCTTTGACACTTTTCAATTTAATAATCAAAATTGTCCCTTTCAAAAACTTAATTCATCGACGGATTTATTTCTGTTGACATCCCTTTATTTTAAGGTTATATACTGGTGACATTTCGAAAAAAGCGGTTGGTAACCGTTACCGACTACTATTTGAAATTCATCCTCGATGCATCATATACAAAATTGATCAAAAAAGTAAACTATCAAAATTATTCTGCAATGCATACTCGCTTGGCTTATTTTGAGGCATGTTAATTCATTTCTCAAATTTATAGTTCAATCGATATAGCGTCAAAAAACAAATGAAGATCTCAATAATGACGGCAAGAAACACTTTATTAGAATTCGAGATGTTGATAATAATCAGAAATGCCAACTATGACGTTAATCTCAAAAACGAACAATGGAAAGATTCATCACCAAAAAGCAGTTCCGTAAATTAATAAAATTTTGTATAGGATAAATGTTGTTTTTCTATAGTTTGTATTGTGCAGATGTTGAAGAGCTCTGCTAGCTCAATAATACTATTCATTATATGAATGAACTGTGTAATTATTATTATGGATACTATCCATAATTATGGATATGTTTCATGCGCAGATACCTTATAAATTTAATATTTTTAAAATTACTACTGGTGGAAAACATCTCATGATATCTATTCTCTTCTTGACCATAACGTTGTCCTATAATTAAAATATTTCTTGGTTGCTATTTTCACCACCACTGAATCACTAAGTGGGCGACATCTAGGTTTTATATTCGAACCTCAAACTCTGGGAAAACGTTAATTAATCACAGTCGTATACTTTCAAATGATATTCGTATATATTAATGTAAAATTCAGCTCTCCATAATGATGACTAATATGAATAGTATTGTTCGAAGGAACCAGTGTACTAACTATGTTTTGAACAATGCACAGTTTTCCAGTTTTGAAAGTATCAAAGGAATTGAACTCGTAATCGATAGTTAACAATTAGCAAATTTATACAGTCATGAATACATTCAAGGGTGTAATTCTATGGATGTCGATTTCATAATGTCCGTATATGATGCAAATCAACGGGTATTGACTTCATTTTTCCAGTCACGTTTTTTGTACAATATGAAATCAGCATCATACGAAAGTATTGAAATGTAAAAATGCGTATTGAAGATATTGTGGACACTTGAATGTACAGAATCTAGTACAATGATAGGATAATTTCGCTACTAAACTTTTTTTTATAGAAATCTGAAATCTTGAACTATATTTTTTAGAGCTGACCACTTTTCAATATGATGGCTTTGAATAGCTAATGTTTGTGATTAAAATAACGTTTAGCAGAAGTAAACATTCAACAGTCGAGTCGTTGACCATGTTTCTCGCTTCAATTCACGGCTTCCAATTACTTTTCAACCGTATATTGATGCCATTATTCCTGTAAAACCAGAATATGAAATCATCGGACACTGGAAGATTGCCAAAGCTACATGTATGAGAATTTATCTCTAACTGTAACTGACTCATTTTAATCGAATGAAATAATATTGAGTCAAACCACTTTTCCTGGTTTTTTGACCGTGGTACGTAGGTTTTCATGCCTGACGTTTCGTCTACTACTGTGGTAGACATTATCAAAGGCTATGAAGTAACGTCGAAGTGCTGGAGTTGTTGCTCCCGTTGTTCCTTACGCATAAATTATAGGTGGGCGTGGTTGGTTTCTCTTAAGATTAAATGACCTTGTTTGTATACAATTGAGGACAGGTAGCCAGATTTTATTAATGTTCATTGCTTCTTCTTTTCTATTGAAATTATCAGTTTTGATTTCCATTACCTCTTTGTATACTCTTGGGCAGTAATTTTCAGTTTTATCGAGTATTATTGTATCTTCGAATGAGATAAAGTGAATAATAATAATAATATTACTATGCATAAAAATACATTTATACATAAAAGGAAGAGGGTTAGTCAAAGGCTATCTTCCACCCCTCCTAAAAATTATACAGTGAGTTTAAGAAAATAATTATAAAAATACTTATTTACTATCATAACAATGATAGAGTACAGAAAAAAATAATCGATCATATAGTTGCTAATAACTCTTAATATTCTGAACATTATTTTGGTCAATTTAACAATTTCATTGCACTACCTTACATTGAATTTCAAATATTTAAAATTAGCACTGAGCAGTAGGCATCTGTGATTTTTTATTTCTTTCTTGAAATGATGAATATTATGATTTAAAAAGGGTAAAATTTCATTCAGATAAAAAGGGGCTATATAAGAAAAACATCCTTGAAATTTGGAAGTACGGTACCTAGGTAAGTTGAATGAGTTAATTCTCAAATTGACCATATATGTATATCAGAATGCCTGCTTAATAAACTATATAAATAACTAGGTGTTTTAGTTTGGAGCAACTTAAACAAAACAATTTTATCTAATATTGGACTCTGTACCTCACATTCAGCTCCTTCATTTTTAACAAAAATGGGGTGACATGTTCACCATATGATATACAGCATACGAATTGCATGTAAGCATTTTGTATACGTTGTAACTTCTGCTTGTTATATTGCGGCAAGAAATTGTAATATACCTACCGAACAACTATACTCGATATGGGGGTAAATAAGAGTTTTAACTAACCTGAGTTTCATTTCTTCTGATAACTGATACTTGAATTTATATAGCGATTTGAGTTTGAAAAATTATACTTAGAAAATGTTTGTCACATGTTTGTGGAAAGACAAAGAGTTATCTATGGTTACGCCGAGATTTTAGCACTGTCTATATACCCAGTCAATGTCTGCGTTATCGAGAGTGAGCCTAAAGTTACAGAGTTTCTACTATTTGTCTTTGGATTGATTTTCAGTCCATAATTCTCCGAGTATAGGAATGTTTTGTGCAAATCTGTGTTTATATTGGCCACGCAACTTTCTGTATCGGTGTTATGAGAAGACAAATATAACTGTATATCATCTGAGTATAGATGTACTTGACAATGTGATAAGAAAGTGGGGTAATCAAAAATAAACACTGAAAACATCAAGAGTCCTGAAATACTTTCCTGCGGTACACCTGAGATTGTTTCTTTTAGGGATGACCATGAGTAATCATCCAGTTTGACCCTTTGCGATCGGTCTGTGAGATAGTTGATCATCCATTTAGGAGAAATGTCATCGAATCCTATGAACTTGAGCTTGCTGATGAGTGAATCGAAATTAACTAAATCGAAAGCTTACCTTTGATCAAGCAGTACTAAAATATTGACTTTTGAATGATTGATTGATTGAATGCTTTCTTTTCTGAGAGCTACAGCTGATTTGTCGGTTTGTCCGAGAGATGGATACCTATACTTTTTTTCGTAGTTCCAATGTAGACCGACCCACATCTACAAGGAATCCGGTATACCCCGGGTGTTGCTAAAGGGTATCTGGGGTCCTTGGCCGACCTTAGACTTTGTCTGATAGTTTTCGTTGGTCCAAATGTTGGTTTCACGTCGTGTTTCTCTAAGATTATCCCAATCCGGTCCGTAACATTTTAACATACAGAAGGAAAGTATTTCCCTTGACTAGACTAGCTAGGGTTACTTTGCCGTTCTCCCTCCTGGATCATATGGCGCACTTCAAAGGCATTTTTTAGCTTATTGAGTTCCTCAGGAAGACTCTCAGGTTCTCCCAACTAACGTTTTAATCACCTCTATCTTTTGTTGTGGTTTTAATTACCTCCTCTTTTGTTGTGGCTCTAACCACCAGCCAATAAATAAACAGTATAGATCGTGACCAGAAGTTTCACTTACATCCAAACTGGAAGAATAAATGAATCTTAAGCAACAAATTTCCCATTTGATAGGTAGAATTTGGAACCTTTCCTTCATTCAAACGAGTTCCAGAATGGGCAACTTTAACCAATTCAACCGTCGGTTCCCTACTTTCTCAAGCTGACCCTCCTTACCTTAGGCAGACAATATGCCACTCTAATTTACGTTTGATATATATTTTGTGATATAATTTTTCTTTTTTCAGTAACCAAAGACAAGGACAAACTCCAAAATATCAACGATGCCATGGAGGTGTTCGAAACGTGGCTAACAAAATTCGAACTGAACAACTTGTCCAAGGAAAATAGGGCCTACCTACCTCTGGCTTCAATTGAGGCCCTCCTGCCCCTCAAAGATACCTACAAAATAGAAAATAAATTAGCCGAAAGATTTCTCGAAGCTTATAAGAAAAAAGCCAAGGGCGAGTACAAAAATCTCAGGACAGTTGCCAGCGGAGAAAATGAACCCACCTGGGACATTGTCAGAAACGCAGAACTCAAGAAATTGTTGAAAGCTATAGGCGAGGAGGCTCCTGAAATGTGGAAGGACGATCTTCCTACGAAAGAGCACATGGAAATAATCCTGTGGGCCTACAGTCCAGATGCTAGTAAAATTAAAAAGAACGTATCAACTTATGAGAAGAAATTGGGTAGTGGCAAAGAGTCTGAGGATGAAGAGATGAATACCGATGAAGAAGACGAAGAGAAAGATGATGAGAAAGATGATGATGAGAAATGTGAAAAAGACAAAAAACAAAAGAAACCTGAAAAGGGAAGCAAGAGGAAGTCATCTGGGGATAGTTCAGAGGACGAGGCAGATGAGTCTCCTAAAAAGAAGAATAAGGGAAATTCCTAGGTTATGTTGTGAATATTGTTGAATTTTCAGAGTTATTCCAATCATTTCAAAGAGTGAACCTCAGCTTTACAATAAGTATTTTTTATTTTTGTATAGTTGTAAATTTGAAGATTCGTTATTTATGGTTAAGTCGTTGCCACATTTTCCGTTGTTATAATTTTGAATTAAATAATGAGTAATTAACGAATATGTTATAGTTTTTAAATGACATTTATGTAATAGGTTCGTCATTTTGAAACCCCCTTCAAAGACAGTTGAGGCAAGACTATCGATCGTGAGTTACACCAAAATTTTGCCCTGTCACCCTCAGAGGTGACAGGGCGCCTCTTCCTGAGGTGTGTATCCGTGCCAGAAGGATACATGAATCTGAGCCATCTCGTCGCAGAAAGCCTTGTTGAAGTAATGCGGGTCTCTGCTCTGATGGACCTCCCAGTGGTGGGTCCCTTCATGGCGTAATAATGATTAAATTCAACGCCAGAACCAGAGTGAACAATGACCGCATGAAGATTATAATAGTGGTCGGCTTGATTGAAGTATTCATCTATTTCGAACCTTCGAAAGAGTTTGGCGCTTCCGTCAGAGGTTGAGTCATGTTTGAAGATCATCTGTGTTATTATTAGATTGACTGGTGCTATAACAGTCAGTTAGTTTGGCTATACAGTCGATCATTTCCATTTTAATAGATGATCCTTTTAAAACGTCTATTTTTATTAATATTACTCTCAAAATTGAGTTCTGTGCAATTTGTAAGCTATTATTGTAATTGTTGAAAGTACCACCCCTTGCTATTGTACGATATCTTATTCTGGATTCTGCCAAAGACTGATATATCAAAAAATTAGTTTTTTTCAAAGAATATCTCCGAGAGTATGAAATTTACGCAGGAACAGTGTCACCCTTTGTGTTACATTTAATACTTGTTTTTCCCATCACATATGTTGGTCTGCATTATTGATTTTACGTCAGCAAGAAAAAGGATCGGGCCAAGTACTGTTCCTTGAGGTATACCCACATTTATTTGTGATGTTGCACTGTGCAACAAAAGTATCCGATCTCAAATCCTGAAGAAAACAAAATCAGTGTATTTGAAAATATATTGTTTCAGGAATGTATATACAACATTGTTCAATTACATATACTTATATACAAATAATATTCAGTTCAATATTGTCATAAGAAATTTGTCGAAAGATATTTTTCATGATGCATTTCTATCATTTGGAATATGAAGTTCAACATAAATTATATATCAGGAATTGAAAAACTTAGTGAACACATGTGATTCAGAAATGAGTTTTATGATAAACTAGACACAGAGAAAAATTTTTTCAGCAAAAATGAAATATTAACACTTCTTTCTGTCCTTAAATATTTCTGTCTTTATTCATACATTCTATAAATTATCAAATTGAAAATTGTTCCTAGTTATTGACTTTCAAAAACCAATTCAAAAAAATTTCTTGTTGCAAGATGTTTTTATTCAACAGATGAATTATTTCAAAATATGTCTCACGAGTATATTGTTATCAATATTTCTAATATATTTAGAATTCTCAACGGCGAGTCTTTCCAAAGCTATGAATGTGAACTTGTTGTACATTTTATGTTTTTTTTTGACTATTCCAATTCAATATCTTGTGTCTTGGGAAAGACACAAAATATTGTGTCTTTCCCAAGACACAATATTATTATTATTATTGTTATTGCTGCGATGATATCCCAGAGAATGAATACGAATACGTTAAAAATTCAAATGTCAATTTAAATCTATAGATTGATCATATATGGGAATCATTGAGCTTAAATAATGAGGATGAAATAATAATAAAAATATAACTCTATTGTTACTGTACTCAAACAAATAGAAAAATGGCAACATATTCCTTACATTTGTATTAATCGAAGTACACCTGAAACAACTATTCAGTTTATGTATATGTGAACAAAACCGCGATGATTCCCTATTTCATATGTCACTCATAGACATGACAATATAGACCGGCAGTGATGTCACTTCTACACAATAGTAAATTCCACCTGTGGATCACACAAAGTCTTGGCTACTGCTTTATACCTGATCTCAAAATTTTCGCAATGGAAATATGTAACACGTAAAATATCGTGACGTTTTATCTGACATTGAGTGTATTAGTGACGTAAATGCCAAAACGTCAATCTCTTCATGTTGGAGTCAATGCTCCCTCTTTAATGGCCTGTCCATATTATAGCGTCACTGATTTCCCTATACTACTGAAAATGATTCCATATAAACAACAAAAATGTTCAACAATCTTCAATAATTTTTTCATCAGTTTAGTAGATACAAATTTGAGATGACCGTTCTGAAATGACAGCTGAATGTTGAATGTTGGCCAACTTTCTAGCATAGCTTTTTTTGATTTGAATTCATGCAACTGAGTTTCCTTATTACTTTTCTGTTATAACATGACTCATCATTACTTGTAATTTTGTAATCCGTCACGGCTTTTACTCTTCAGTTAGACGCAATGTTTTATTCTTTTGCATGAGCGATAAGTTGATTTTCACTACAGTTTTTCAGGTGCTATTATAATTTATAGTTGATGATTATGAAAAAATTTTAACGCAGAACTCTTTAAGATTCATGAAATAAAGCGTCAGATATTTTCATATATATTAGTTATGTTTTAGATGCACTTTTACTGTACCATTTTGTGGATAGTTTAAACTGTCCTAATGAAGATCCTTAGAATGAATCCTAATGCCTTCCATTAATATTTATTTTTATTGATACTGCCATTGGAATTGAAGTGAAAAGAGAGAATCTCTATAGTTTAAAGATATTCTTTTTGATTTTTTGCATCTTTGGTCCTAAATCAAGTTCATTCATCGATATCAACAAACTGGATTTTCAATTTTGAGGTATAATAAGATGCCGAAGGAAAACCTGGTTGGAATGATTGATTGATCTAAATTTTTCACGAAATCCATTTAAGGTAGAAGTAATAAAGTAAAATTTTAAAAATGCTACACCAGTCAATATTGTATTAAGAAACGAGCCTTCGGCCGTGGAAGAAAGTTTAACAGTTATTAACACAGCTGGGAATATATAGAGATCATTTAAATTTAAATCGAAAGAAAAAGTTTTCTGTGGAAGTGCAAAACTGTTGTCATAAACTAATACACATGTCTTCTCAAATATTGAAGCAAAGTATCTACACAAGTTTTGAAAATCACAGTCTTTTTATATTGATTTGTAGCTTAGTCTTTTCCCTATTATACAATTATTCATGTTAGTCCTTACGCTAAGATTCACAGACAGTTTAAGCAATGATTATCATTTGGTTACAATTCGTAGCAACCTATATGGCAACATTGGGCATCCATCAGGTATGAAATTAAACTATTCTTCTTCTTCTTTTTTCGCATTCATGGGCGTCATCGCCTCTTCGTCTGTCACGGTCTTGGCTTTTCTTCTGTGAAGTACCGGAACTAAAAATGTTATAACCGACGCTATGCCAAAAAACGCACTTCCTGCCAAAAATGATACCGTGTACGATTTGGTAGCGTCGAATAGCATTCCTGCTAGTGGAGATCCTATGAAGGCCCCGGTTCCTCGAAACAGAAGAGTAAAACCGAAAGCACTGGTCAATTTGTCTAGCCCCAGGTAGTCTACGAGTAGAATGGAGCACAGAGAAATGAATCCAGCTGAAAAGGAAGTCAATTGTTGATGTGAAAACAAGAAAATTGCTGGAAACAACTTTTACAAAACTGTTATCCCACCAAAAACGAGTACATTTGCATGCACTATGAAATAGTTATCAGATCTGTCAATGAGCCAAGCTCCTAACTTTTGTTTATGTAGACATGGTCTTTACAGACTCTGCCTCATAGTTGAAATATATGGCTTGGCTGTTTCGTTACCCCAGGAACTATTAGCACAAAATCAACGAAAAGTAAACACATTTCATGTTGCTGATCTAATCATAAGCCTATAGAAGTTTCTACGTGATTCATATGAAACGGCCAGGCCACATATTTCAACTATAAGGTAGGGTTTGTGCAGTTAAGGCTTGTCTACACTAAAAAGTCTGGCTCAGTAACTTTTTTACAGTGCATGTATTCATATTGGCAATACTTCACATGAAACTATTTATGGTGCAATAATTCTTTCAAAACACGTTCAGTCACGTTGTGGAAGATTCCTGTTATTAACGATTTTGGAGAGCATAGGTTTGATAGTCGATTGATGGAATGAGAAGATCGATTTTGGTTTCAAAGATTTCTTTGGTGTGTAAACCCATAATAACACATGCATCTTTGGTTTGGTAGCCAAAGCTTAAACAAGCTTCTAAACAAGCGACAACAAATTACGCAGGGTGCAAAAACTTGCTTATTCGGCAATCTGAACAACAGCAACATTGGGGGCACTTTTGAATGTACCTCCTCTGAATCTGAGTCATTCTTTGCAGCAAAAATATCAACAGGAAAGATTTTCGATTGGATTTTCAATGAATGGTTATTCTCACCCATGGATGTTCCATAAACTGTCGCTACAGAAATATAAGCTGCGTAGGAGTGGCAAATTGGTATCGCTGCTACTGATGCTGTCATCACCACCAAGCAAATATTGTGCACCCACATTGTGTTTACTTTCGGGAAATCTGCTATGAATCCACACACTATACGTCCCACAGTGTTCGTTATCCCCATTATGGAAATCAGGAATGACGCGGCATCATCGTCGAATCCCTGGAATCAAAGTTGTAAATGTTTATTGGGCACGCAAACTCATACCTGGAGAGTAGTTTCTCCTCCTGGCCTCTGGCCGAAGAAAACAGAAAAAATTACAGAACATAACAATGTTAGATATAAAGCAGGAACGGCCGTCCAACAGCTGTGGATACTTATACTTATACTTAGATGCAACTACTCATACTTATACTTAGATGCAAAAGAGAGTTCTACCGTGATGTTTTAAACTTTGTGAATATATCTTTTGGAGAGTACTGAGATTATATTTGAATATACTTACATCTTCTTTGGCGCGGTCACCAATATATACAAATGGAATGTACAGTCCAATAAAGGAGAATAAGTTCACAAGCGCTATGGCGAGAAATACTGGGTCTTTCAGCAGATCCATGTCCAGTAGTTGGCCTGGAATGGTCAAAGAAAGTTTGTACCAAATTAATTCTGGTCTTTCGTGAATAAAAGTTGATTTCAAATGTTTGCAATCAATTTGATAGTAAGGATTTTGAACCAGTAGGTTAATAACTTCTATTACTTTGGCAATGAGCTTCTGGTGGTTGAAGACCCTCAGATATTGAAGAAAAAAGAAACTTCAATGGAAGTCACATGTAAAAACCATCTAAAATATTTGGAGCTAGGTCAACACCAATTTTTGTTTCGATGAAGATCAATTCTATTACCAATACCATTGACTGAACAGAATGCCCAGTTTTGCAAAAAATATCCGAAATATTTGGTTTTTCAGAAATACTTTCCACAAAGCTTCGATATTGCTTTCAGATATTGATATTGTCTTGGTTGATTTATCAATGTACCTCGCTTGGGAGAGGAATAACTAATGAAACTTCACCCATCTATTGGCTTTTTTACCTACTCTTTTTTGAATTCAGTTGTGGTATGCTGAGTACGCTCTGTCTATAGTTATGGAGAGATTTCTGCGATTGGAATTCTTTCAGGTTTGTAACAGATCCACCATAGAAAACATCCTTTCTTGCCAAAGGAGGCAGAACATTGCTCGTTTTACTTCTGGTGCTGGAAATTGATACTCTTGAAGTGGCGATGTCCACCTGAAAAATTGAAGCTGTAAAAACGAGATTGAAAAGATGAAGAATTATGATCGCGTCAAAATTCTCTTTTGTGCAGCAAATATACCATTCGAAGCCTTTAGTCTACTTAGTCTAAAGTTTCAGCAATTATTCACCAATTACTCACCAATTTTTGTACAACAGTATTACTGGTTAGTAATAGAATTCAATTTCCTGATCTAGATTCGACAGTGTTCTGCCCAAGTTCACTCATATATAAATTGAAAAATCGAATAGGGTCATTACAGAAGGCAAATCACCAAAACCAATGTCATGATAACTTCTGCTTCCTGTCCTTTACAAGAGCGAATATATTAAATTTCATCATATCACGGAAAATATTGATCTTCCTAATATAGGTGTTCAGCATGAATAGTCCCCAGGAAAGGTCCCAAAGCTGAACCCTGAGGAACTTAAATATCAACTCTCCAGCTAAGTTTTGTTAACAATCACTCCGTATAAATTCATAATACAATGGAAAAAGAAGATTTTGTTTTTATTATACCTTTTCAATAACAGAAAATCCTCAAGATTTCCAATCTCATTATTCTTTGGGCATACAAGGACGTATATTGAGAAAAAAGTGCTAATTTATAGCGCGATATTATACAATCATTATTATGTTAGTGATTTTTTGGTGGTTTTTTATTAACCTATTCTCGATTCATTACGAATTCATGGAAGAGAACATTTTTTATCGCACTATACATTTGCATTCAGAGTGAACGTAGTCAAATTAACAAGGGCTCTAATTAACTGACTATCAAGGGTATACAAAATTTACATAGCACAGGTCGTTAATATATAGATGAGTACGAAACAAGTGATATGATTTCGATCTTTGGTTGGCTCTTCCTTGTTATTGCCTTTATTTAGGAAATGCAAAGACGTTGTACTTTGACTAAGTTAAATAGAATAGATCACGATCAAATTGAAATCTATTACAAAAGAATTAATGTAACAACGACAAAGATGAACACCGAATAATGACTGCTGAGATAAACAATGTATTTGTCTCTAGTTAACAATATCGCCACCAGGGGGAGTATGGTTTGAGTTTCAAAATCTTTCCAGATTTTTGAGTCACGTTGGTTCAGCTCCAGCTGAATAACTTTATAAAAATAGGGTGAAGTTTCTAAAGGGTGCAATGTTGTAGAAAACGCCGCCCTTTCAGGTCAAAGTAACATGCTAACGAAAATTGTAATGCAATTATTACATAATCATTAGTGTGCTTGTGTTAAGTCAACTGTTCATCAACTGTCAGCTGTCATTTGAGTGAGTGCTTATGTTAACTAAACTGTTTCTTTACTGTCAATTGTCATTTGAACTAATTGTATGAAGGGATCCTATATTTTTGAATGAATTATCATCAGTGAAATATTCTCAATGAAAATAACAGTCAATATTATTGCTCCCTAATTTGCAGACGACTTTTTAAATAATCTATTTTACTAATTCCGGTTTTTATATTGAAAAAATGATATATATGAGTAGATTGCATAAACTAAATTTTTCTAAATCGATCATTACTCAACCTGTATTTAACACTGGTTCTCTTTAACTTTATGTCGTCAGCATTTTTCAAATTACTCCAAACCTGACATTTAGAATGAATTAAAAATCTTAACTTGAGCTATTGAGACTCATTGAGGTGAAAACAAATTTAAAATAAGATAATTTAATCGCTATTTCAACTATATAACATAGGCGTCCCTAAAACACTTATAAGGGGACAATTATTCATGTATTGTCGTTAAATTATGAAATTGGAAATTCACGTCCAATTTTGAATTCTACATATTTTCAGTAGTAACAATCCAATGAATTAATATCACTACACATTTTAGAAGGCGCGTAGACTGGATCCTGTTACTGGACAAATGAAAATCATCTGCAAGAAATTTCTGTATGAAAATTGGCACAAATGTCAGATATACTCAAATGTCCGCCTTAAAATTAGCCAGGAAAGTGACTATGTTCTGGTAAGTATTCGTTATCCATTCCTATTATAACCGCGTAATCGATTGTTCTGACTTCAGCAGCGAATTATGTTTTTATTGTCCTTATGGTTATTGAGAAATATGATGGGACTCAAAAATTTACCGACATATGTAAATATTATATACACCACCAAAGGCCTAGGGATCTTAACCCTTTTTTTCCATGTTTATAATGGAAGTGTATCTATATACAAAACATACACATTTTTTTTTACAATCCTTCTCATAATTAAGAACCAAAATTCTATAGTTCATTGCCTGTTGCAGAATATGTGCTCTACTGCTGAAATATCTAGGGCAGATAATTCGACAAAAATTGAACCAAAAAACTTTTCAAAAAGCCCTAATGATAACTAGCTTGAATATTTTTTAAATCTGCGAGCATGACGTCGAAAATTTACGTTGATACTGCAGATTTTTCAAGCAAAATCATAATTCAGGCAATGATATTGTTTACTGAGGTTTTAACAGATCGATATCATGCTTTTTGTTTTTCACAAATGGTATTTTTAGACTGAAAGGTTTATTATTTTTTATGAATTATCTCGGTTTTCAAATCTCTTGGTCCTGCCATGTGCTTCCCACTATACTTTGAAATGGGGGTTTTGCGTTGTTTGACATACTTACAGTTGAGCAAGCGTACCTTCGCTTGACTCGGACGCACATGTAATATTACCATAATCGATAATCGTAGCACATGTCTCTGACGCATTCGAGATTTTATTGTCGATAAACCGCCTGTTGCATTTTACTCCAGTGTAACAGGTATGTAAGCTGTAAAGGTTCCAGCGGAGTGGCAGTACCCACATGCATATATTTTTAATGTCATACCAGTTCGTTGTTTTTTTTTGGTTAGTGTACTTCTATAAATATAAAGTGCATATTTTGGCCTACTTTGACAAGGACAAAAACAGTGTTTGATCATAAACCTTAATAAAGTTTATTATTATTATCATTATTTGGAAGAATTCACATAAAACTGGTCCAGGAGCAAAATAGGTTGCATATTATAGTCCTTTTGTTTTTTCCCGAACTTGTAACTTGAATTGTATACTTCTTGTCTATATATATATATATGTTCAATATAAATCCTTTTAACCTTTGCTCCTAATATTCTCTCAACTTATGATAATTAGCGATATAATTATTGTTACGCCATGGAGAATCTAACTGGACGTGCGTGACGTACTTAGCACAGTAAAGTCATGTCACAGTATTACTCCAAATCAAGTGCAAGAATACGGCAAAATAAATTGAGGTCCTAAGGAAGCTGTCAAACATAACCTCAAAATCGAGTTTGAAAATTTCAAAAATTCCTGTGGAGCTTAGCACGGTCAAATAATGACTGTCCTAATCGAAAGAGGGCCGGTAAACGACTTACTACGCGCAATTGCCTAATCTTTCCCTTTTATGAGACAAAAACTAAAAATATCCCGAATAGAAACCATTTGCGTTAAGTATTCATTATTTCAGCTTATGTTCGCTGAGTTATTGGGTAAAATATACAATCATTCAAGATTACGCATATTTTTCAAATTACCTATTTATATGCTTGAATGTTGTGTTGAACAAGCACGTGCGTTGACTCATTTTGCAACCTAAAAAATTATCTTTCCGAAATCTATCAGTTGAAACTTTTCGAATCTGTCAACTAGACTTTCCTTGATATGCGTGTTGTTAGTGTTTATATATGGCAATGGAAGTTTCTCTAAGCCGATAGAGAAGACACTAGAAGTCTATCGAATTGATGCGGTATCTAGAACAATCGCGAAGCGCGATCTTACGATGACCAGCGGCGGGCGGCGTTATTTTTTTCAGGGAAAAGTTTACAACAATATCCTGAACACACGGGTAATCTACAGGTAGGTTTCCTTATGAAAACAGGGTAGGGCATACCCAGAAGACATTGGATGTTTTCTGGCCGATAATTTCGAAATTTCAGACGGTAGTTATGAAAGTCGGTTAGATTCCAACTCTGGGCCGATTGGAGTCTCTCCTGATTGGAGTATCGACTTCGGAGGGTTGCCATTTTTATGGGGGCGACAGTTAGTAAAAAAATCATTTCAACCCAATTTTTCCGTAATATACTCATGGAGATTTTGTAGTTTCTATTTTTGGGTTTGTTAGGCGTTTTGTAAGAGTTTTAAAACTCTGCAGGTACTTATAAAAACTTATATTGAGTATTGGGAAGACTGTTTTCATTTAAATATGGGAATTACTTCTCGGTTTATAACATGTAATCGTAATGTTCAAGAAAAGGGGGATTATCTACTCGTATATATGTAATATAATTATCTTTCTTCGAAAGATAATTTACTGTTTTGTTGATCTCCGATCATTGGAAGTCTAGATAAGTTTTGCGATGGAATTACGAGAGGAGAAATTAATCCACAGCTCAGGATATTTTGAGTTATGAGATATTCTTTCGAAACTGTTGTTATATTGAAATCGTTTCGATAATAAATGACCTTTCATTATTTTACCCATTACACTGGCGTAAACTCCGATAAAATTATCTGAATTGCTATTTTCTCGCAGAATGTTGTTATGTGGTTTTTGTGAATTTCCAACTACTTTCTCGATTTTTTTCTTGAAAGCCATGCGTATTGCAGCCAAATGTGCTGTATGTTCAATCTTGTAGAGGACCAACTTAGTTTCTTAAAATAATGCAAAAAGAATGCTAATAAAACAAATTCTCAGCTTGGATTTTGAGAAAATTTTAATGTGGTTTACGTAACATTCGCTTTGTTAAGAACATGTCAACAGAGTTATTGAAAATAACAAGCACCTCATGAGCAAGAGTAACTTTTTCACTTTTTGCTGATGATACTAGCGATATCATCGTAGAGGATATATATGAGAAGTGAAATTTCGCCTCAATTTCGTTCCTATTCTTCGTTATTCATAATGAAGGAAGACATGCAATTTAAATTTTTTCTATTGAACATAAAGTACATTTGGCACTGATTCGTTTTATAGGAAATTTCAATCTTAACACCGATTTCCCCAAACAGACCAAATTTTCAATTACCTCACCTACAAAAATTCTACCTTCAGGTCAATTTCTCTAGATCGACCAAGTTTTCAATTATATCATCTAAGAAACCCCCCTTTTTATATCTATTTTCCCAAATCGTCCAAATTTTCCTCAATCGGCCAACATTTCTCCAATTGACCCAAATTCCAAATTTTTTTTGCATAGAAAACCATATGAAGCAAAATTCTTCCAACCAACAACTCCGGGGAGTTTTTTCAGTTTCACATCGATATTTTCCGATTTTTGGCCCATTTTTAGTGATTTTTGCCACAAAATTATTTTCCGCACTGAAAAATTGATCAAAAACCAGTCTTTTTCGTCTCATTAGAAATTCGAATGAAACATTTCCCGAACTCAAAATGAACAATTAATTTTTTTGTCAAAAATCAAAAATTTTAAAACAAAAGTTTCAATTTTGTCATATTTCTATTGAAACTGCCAATTTGATAATTTGATAATCATAAAAAAATGTTATATATTGTTAAGGGCAAAAAAACATTTTGCATTTTTGGTAATTTTTTCAAAATGGTTTTCACCCTCTATCCCAATCGCTAATCAAAAAACTATAAGTACCTAATTTATTGCGACTGATTTATTATGACTTCAAAATTTCGGAAAAGAGAACTATTTCCCTCTTCTTTGGTTGGTCTTTGCTTTCCATTCAGGCGCATTTGGCTACTAGAATCATAATGTTAGAGAATACTCACCAAACTTGTATGAGCCTTCGCCACTTCTCCGTTGGAATGCAGAGTGATATGCGATCCTTGGACTTTATAAGACTTCAAAGTTTTCTCTTCGCCAGCATACTCAATCGGTTTCATAAGCGCCCCGAATACGACGCAAGCCAAACACACCCCTGCGAGCCACAAATGAGCAGATTTCCACCCGTAATGCAACAGATACGTTCCCAAAGGCGCGAACACGACTGTTCCGAATCCAGATCCACACACAGCTATTCCAGTAGCCAGAGACCTCCTGGATTCGAAGTAATACCCGACGCACACCACTGCCGGCAAGTACATCAGTCCGAAACCGATGCCTCCTACTACCCCATAGACGATCATCAGCATCTCCACCGAGGGGCACAGCACTGATAATCCGAAAGCTGCTGCTGATATCAAGGCTCCAGCTATGCAGCACAGGCGGCAACCGTATCTGTTCGCGAAGGCACTCACCAGAGGGCCCGAACACATCGTGACACCTGTCAGAATCGACCCCACCCAAGCAACCTTCCCGCTCGATTCTCCGTAGTACTCCATGAGGTCGTCTTTGAAGATCCCGAAGCAGTAGCTCACTCCGTCCACTACCATGTTGCAGATGAAGGAAGCGATGACGATCACCCAGCCGTAGCCCCCATCTGGGGGAATTGGTACGGCAACTTCATCTTTTTCTTTCGGTTTGACGGTGGTGGCTGTTTCCCCTTTTTGTGCAGCCTGAAAAAAATATAGTGATTGATTTGCGGTAGAAACAGGCGTTCATTTACTTTGACGAAAGTTCCCTGGGGTTGAATTTTCATTACAAAAACTTGTTTTGGATATGCACTAGCCGAAAATTAAGGTAGCAAATATTGATTTCGGTGTGAAGGAAGGTGTGAAGGAAGGATCACTACAGTGATGTTACAAATTCGATACTACCTATTAAGAATCAGTTATCCAGAGTCAAAGTGAAGATGAATCGACGAGACAGGCTGCAGCTTGATAGACTGAATTTTTGGAAAAAGACCCTTATGGAGTAATTCGTTCTAGCACAAGTAGCAAGAAGCTGTCCTGAAGAGGCATCATAGAACCTTGTAATGGTCGACTTTCTACGTATCCTGAATTATAATGAATACAAAGTGCTGGGCAATTTAGTTATATTAGCACAAGAAACATACAGTAAGAGAACGAATGCAACAGATCCAGGACATCATATCAATAAAGACTGAGAAAGAAGGGCATTAGTTCATTCAAATCGACCGAAGAAGCATTCATTAAGAGGATCAAGGAGGAAGAACTAGGATCTCTTAAACTTCGGGGTGAAGAGATACAACCGTCGTGGAAAAGTGAATATCTGCGAATGATACTAGATCCCAGACTAACTTGAAAACGACATTTATGAAAGTAAAAGGAAGGCAAAGGTAACACCAAGGCAGGTTTGAGATATGTACAACGTGGTTGAATCTATAAAAACAAATCCATTTTTTGATTTGGTTGCCAGAGATGAAACAAATAACCCTCATAAGCAATTTAGACAAAAGCGAGAGTATTCAAAATCCAGGAACGTGATGGATGGAGTGTGATGGAGTGTTCGCGCGAATAATCTGGAACGATCAGGAACCATCCAGAGCATTGTGCAATGATCAAAGGAATTGTATGTTGCGGTAGTCCTCTGGCAAAGAATTGCTTGTTTAGGAATAACGAGGGCATCAAAAATCACCCCAACAGTACCATTGGAGATACTTTATAGTGAGTCCACATCAACAGGTGAAGCAAAAGATGGTTCATTTACTAATTATCACATTATTATCATCATTATTTGACCACATGGATCTTCCTGGAGGAAGAAGTATCAAGATCAAATGCATCAAAAACACCTCCAGGTTCTAGTGCAGACATATATTTGTGTAAATTTACGCTATTGATTTGTGTGTAGAGACTTTATCAGGAGAAACCAACCTCATACATATAAGGCATTGAAAATATTCTCAGACAACCTTGGCCTTGGAAGCTCTTGGCTCCCATCAAGCAGCAATTAGTTGGTATATCAAAATAGGAAGGCTCAACAATTTGTATCCGGTCTGGACTTTTCACCACACTGGTCTGAAAGGCAACGAAGCTGCTAACTCCTTTGCAAGGGAGGGTGCTATTGGTATCGCTTTAGACTTTGCCAAACAACAACTGAATACATGGACTACAAGGAGAATTTCAGACCTCTGGGTTAAAATCTGCCAGACTAGTCCATTCCAAGAAGATTGAGTATGTCTACTTTATCTCTTGAAGACACGAACTTGGTTGTTGAAACGCGCCTTAACTTACTTTGAACCTAACCAAACTGTTAAAAAATCTGTTGAAATCTGTTTTTCCGTTAAGCAGCTGTTGTCCTCCTACGAATGACAACTCTCAAAAGTCTAAACTTGCTCGAGCTAAGGACTAACGAGGTTAAATTTAACAATACAATACAATTACAATAAGTTATAAGATAAAAACAATACATATAGAATTAGCTGAAGTGAAAAGACCTAATCTCAGAGACGGAACAGTAAAAAATGTCGAGCTGACAACTTGCAGAATTGTATTTGACACAGATGGATCCACTTTGTGGATAAATATTGTCTGATCTATAGGAGAGAAGTTTTAGGACAAGACGTTGTGCTGATTCAACTTTCTCTGTATTCAAATGATGAAAAGGATTCCAGATTATGAATGCATATTCTAATTTTGATCTGACGGAAGCATAGTATAAGGTTTTCGATGTAGATGGAGCCGCGAACTCTCTGGAGATTCGTGCAATGAATCCATACATTCTGTTTGCAGCAGATAGAATGGCTTCAATGTGTGATACGAAAGAAAGTTTTGTGTCAAAGGTAACACCTAGATCGGTGAATGTGAGAGACCGTTGAAGTGAAATATCGTTTATAAAATATTGATATGAAAATGGAGATTTTTTTAGTGTGTACGTCATTACATCACATTCACTCGCGTTTAAAGGAAGATTATTGCGAAAACACTATTGCTCAACACGTTTCAGATTGAGGGAGAGTGGAAGACAGTCCTCGATGCCATTGATCTCACAATATAATTTCAGGTCATCCGCGTATATCAAACATTTGATGTCAATGACCTCAACTATGTCGTTCATGAAGGCGTTAAAGAGAAGAGGACCTGAGTTGCATCCTTGTGGAACACCCGAGGTAGCTGCATATTCCACGGACTTGAAGCCATTGAATATAACATATTGACGCCTGTCAGTGAAGTATGATATATAAAGTTGGATTAGGGTCAGAGAAAAGCCGTACCTGTACAATTTCGATAGCAGTAATCCGTGATCAAGTCTGTCAAACACCTTAGAGAAGTTTGTATATATGACGTCAGTTTGGGATCTCCTATCAATGATTGCAGAAATGGGTAACATTGAAAAGGTTGGTGATTGTCGAGCGACCTTTCATAAAACCATATTGAAGTGGTGTAATTTGATTGCTCAAATGGGGATAAAACCTGCTATAGATGAGGATTTGAAACACTTTAGCGAAGTTGCATATTATTGATATGGGTCTATAATTACCGACATCAAACTTGTCCCCTACGCAAGGAGTTCCAGTTCAACCTTTATAATGATCTTTATTGGTATCCATGAAAACCAAACCCCTTTTTCTCTAAACGTCATTTATTCGCATAACATTTTGCAACTATTTCTGAACGTTATAGTAAAACATAAGAGTCCTGGCTCGTAGTTTAATACGCAATATACAGAATTAACATATTTTACAAATGTGTGATCAAAACTGAAAAGACTAACCGTCTTTTCTATTCACCAGACACTTCACAACCAAACAACAATTTTCACAAAAATTCATGAAGATGCATCAAAAATGAAACGTATGGTCCGCATTCACTGAGATTTGCCATGCTTTATTCGCAGTGTCCGCAATGTCACAGCGAAAGAGACGTAAATGTCAAGTTTCGCAAAGACACCAAACTTCGCACTAGACTAAAGCCCCATCTACCTAATTAACAAAAACACAAACGCTTACGTGATTCATGACGGCCTCAAGAAGAGTCTGTATCCAGCACGTGCTATTCAAATTTATCACTTGCACCTTATTTATCGTTATTATTTTTGGTGAGCAGCTTTCTACTTGCTGAGAGCTGAATAAGTAATGAGATAAATGAAATTCTCGATCAAGTATAAAATTATGCAATGCCCAAGGATTGTAAAGACATTCATAATCTTGTTTTAATTATTCCAACGTTATTTTATCATTAACCTTAACCTTTTTTACAACCGTTTTGTGTTCAATAATATATTTTGTTATATGTTTCGTATGATAATATAAAAAGTGCATGAATATAAATAAATGTAGTTGAGCGAGTTTTTCCACTAGTTAGTGTTTATATACAGAGCATGTTTAAAGTCGCCGCCCCCTTTGAATGAAACGATGTAGAAACAATGGACAAATGTGAGGTTAAACTCTCTTTAGAAATTTACTGATTTCGGACACTAAAAGATGACCTCCTATGTAATATCTATATATTTTAATAACAAACCCAACAAATATTGGAATGAAATATAATAGAACGAATAATTTTATGTAGGTTTGCTGATTCTCATACCAAAAACTAGAATAAATTTATATAGTATAAGTATAGTGAGTTTATGTAATGCTCAACGCTCTCACGCTGTCCGATTTTTTCATGCTAGTCGTTCTTATGTAGGTTATATTCTATATAATTCTTGATTTGAATAATATTTACGTGAACACGATCAACTTCAAAAATAGAATTGTTTATAGAGATGCTCATTCAATTGCAAAATCATCGATATGTTCAATGACGACCGTGTTATTGCACCGGGGGTCATCGATCAGAATCTGTTCGTTCTAAATATTTTGCAGTTATTATTATGACTATTTTCAAATGGCCAAGTCCAAAGATAGAAGTTCAAACTTACTGCTGGTAGGCGTTTTTTGTTTGGAATCACTAATTTAAATCAGAGTGAATATTGAAATTAGATAGATTTACATTTGTAAATATACAGAGTGAAACAATTGAAAAAATAATGCACGACATTTTTCAAATACAGTCCGGGATAAATATACTTTGCTGTTGATGAAATTGCATTCAATTAGACTTATGTAGGGTCTTCTTACAGGGACTTTCGGACTTTGACAATTGATAATGGCCATCTTGTTGAAGCTAAATCTGTCAAATTGGTGGTCATTCATTCAGTATGTTTTGCTACTTTCCACCACCATGGATGGATATAGCATTCAACAACACGTGGAAATCATAAAATAACAGTTTCGGAAAGACTTTTTCTTCCAGTTTACACTTCTTGAAGAGTTTGTTCTCAAATTCATTGCTTTCTTCCTTCTTTTGGACGTTTCTAGATTTGATTTTATGCAGATGAAGATGTCTGTTGTGTAGAACTACAATATTTCATCTACTCAACTTGAACTCAGTTTCCTATCCATGAGCGCCAGCCTTGACTAACCTTCAATGCTTTTTGAACCGTTACAACTTTACATGACTATCGATTTTTCCATGAATTTAAACTTCAACAACTATCTTTTTATTTGTATATGTATAGTTTTAGTTCCATTTACATTTGTTATCCAGCATTGAGAATTCAGAGAGCGCGGACTCCTATCGCCGATATCAACCTATTTATATTTACAATGCAGATTGCTTGTTTACCTCGATACCGATAAAAAAATATCCGAAGGACAAATTCCCAAACACTCCCTGAGAACTCTAATAAACCTAGTAGCTTGACATTTGTTAAACATGTGGACGGTTCCTCGCCGTATCTGATTTACTGATTATAGTTAATATCTCCAAACATTAGGAATATTTTATGCATTGAAAACTGTGGCATTTTAAAACAATGCATCCTCATGATGAACGCACCCTGTAGATATGAGAGTGAAAACTTGCAGCTTCGAGAGTCTGGTCTTGATTATTCATTTATTTCAAATTGAGCTTGGCATTTGTCAAACTGACAAATGGTTGGCATGGGAAATCTCCTTGTCGGCTTGTTTTTGCTACTTTCCCTGGCAGATGTAATCGTGTTTTCTCAACACCTACAGCTTCATGGTGCTTTTTTCAAAATTCAACGTCAACAAGTACATGAACTCTTCAGTTTTTACTAGGAATAGGCTTATCAACCGTCCACCTTAGTTTCAATATGGGATAAGGAGTTTCTAACAATCTAACAACCAGTCATTTTTTGTTCAACTCTAGCTGTAAAAATCGCCCTAACAATGTATTGTGACGCACATCTTCACCATGGTAACGTGTGAAAATATCCAAAGTTTTGAAGAATTTTTGACAGCCTTCGACAAGTGAACAAGTAAAATAGCGAAATAATTTCAAATAAGTTGTAATTTGAGTACAGTGTTCAGTTGTATTTTGGATTACTGAATAAACTTTCATTCCTGAGCCACCGTATTCACCAGATTCGCCCCCCGGCGACTTTTTTCAGTTCCCAAGATTGAAGAAACCCAATAAAGGACGGCGTTTTACGACGATTGGGATAAAAACCGAATGGTTGAGAGCTCAAGGACATACCAAGAAGTGCATTACAGAACTGCTTCGAGGGTTGAAAAAAAACGCTGGGGCCAAAAAAAAAATTGATGAATAAAGAAATACTTTTCGAGAAAAATTAAAATTCATCTTATTTTTCGAACATGAAATATCATAAATTTGAATGGTTGAATATTAGATGATTTTATAAGAAAATGGGTTGCATCATTTTTCATTTCTAGTAATAGTACCAGTAGTAGTAGTAGTAGTAATAAATATAGGTACTTTACAAAAGACTAACCATTGACCAACTTTTTGAATTAACTTGGTATAAGTATTCTCCAATACTACTTTCTTCACAATTGATCAGTTTTATCGCAGCTTTACCAGCGGGTCGAGCGGAAATGTATGTCAAATATATGATAACCGCGTAAACGTGGATCTTTTCATGACAGAGAGTTGCATTATTAAGGCTAAATATACTGGAATGCAACCCAGGGTTCATCTTTTGTGTGATTATTCTTAAGGATTCACTTACCATATTTATTAGAACCAACTAGACGCAGACCCGATTATAAATATTCTTCACACGCGCATTTCCGATTCACAGCAAACCCGTAGAAACAATGATAAGAATTTGGATTGTTTAAATAATATACGCGAATCCACTCCGTTTCGAATACTGATACTCTATACGGGGTGTGACAAAACGTCCGGTTGGTAGTTTAGTGCCCAATTTGGCATACTGGTTATTATACAACGCGGATTTGTGAAGGAACTGTGATTTTGTTAATAACGGTGAATTGTGTGAAGGCGTTGAAAAAAAGTAAAATATTGAGTGAATTGTTTGTTTTTGATTTGATTTTAGGAAGCACTAAAAGACAGAAGCTACCATGATGTTAAGCGAATAAAAAATGTCTTCATTATTTTAAATTATTTTTCATATGTCGATATTTAAAAAAACGTAATAATCAAAAACAAAACGTAAAATAATGAGTTTCAATGTTCATAAAGTTCGAAAACTTCAAAAATATCACTCTCAAATATTCTTATATTGAATATTTGTTGAAATTTGAATACTATAACTATGTAAACTTCAAAAAAAGAGCTGAAGAGCTAAAATTTCGGAATTCCTCTCGCTTTCTTGAAAAAATATGAATTACCAGAAAATAAAGGTTCATAAATGTCTTTGTTATTTAGCATTTCCGCCCTTAAGCCGGAAATTTTCATGAATACTTTGTGTCCAAAAGTTGAACTATGAGAAAATGATCGAAATTCAACTGAATTTTTTTTTAAGAAATAGTTTTACCAAAATGTAACATGTGTTTCGCCATAAAATAGCTTCTTCAGACGAAACACTGTTGCATATATTTTGAAACATAAGAGTTGAAGAAATAATTTCTTAATGTTTCCACGACAAAAACATGTATCTAATCATTAAAACGTATAGAAAGTTGTTGATATGCATTTTTCCGTTAACCAGCTATTTCCCTCTTACAAACAACAACCCTCAGAAGTTGAAACTCGTGCGAGCTAGAGATTAACGAGGTCATCTCAGTGACAGTTCCTAAGAGTCTTGAAGAGTTAAAGACTAATATTTCCATCCGGAACTTCCAAAAGTCCACCTAGAGATTGAAAGAGTGAAATTTTATATAGAGATTTTCATACAGTGAAAGAAACTAAAACTTACAACTGAGTTTTAACGAAACTTTTTTGGGTAATGATACTAGTGAGGTTTTCGATGATATGGACCTCATTAGCAGACATGAGTTATGATACCTGCTTAACGGCGTCTCAATACACTAAACTGTTGTAGTAAAGCAGTGCATACGTTAAATGTTACAGAATGCGATTGGGATTATTACTGGCCACTCTGATCACCTGATTTAACGCCATATGACTTTCTTCTTGTGGGTTCACCTCAGTGACCTCTCACTGAAGTTCAGCATTTGAATAATATAATTTAAAAAATATTTTTTCAAAAAATTGGGAAACCATCGTGACTTTGTAACGACTCTGCTTGATTTTCATACTGTCATATATATTTTCTTCCAAATTGGGTTCCAAATAATGAGAATTAACATGAAAACCAATCCGCATGAACTGAATATACCGATTTTTTCTAAATGAATGCGTTATTTATCAAAAATAGTAAAAATAATGTTCTAGATTGATGAAACTTAGTCATGAAATTAATTTCTCGAAACAAAGTTTTCAAATTACTTTTTTGGAAATTTCAAATAAAAAAAGTCAATTTTTATAAAAACTGACTATCAGTTAGTAAACAATATTATTTTTTTTGTCATATTCGAAGCTGAAACCAACGCCAGAGTCTAATTTCATGTGAGTATTAATGAAAAAATTCTTATATGTTGCCGATTTCAACGGCGGCACTGAATATATTATAATTATAATATCTACGAGTTCAAATGAATAAAAAAATATTCGAACGCACTTGTTACATCTTTTATATTGGAAGAATACGGAACGCACTGTTTGGTTTTAGGAGGGAAAATTTTTAAATAATGTCCTAAGAAATCAACATTGAATTTTAGACGATTTTTCGACTTACCATAGTTTGCAAAATAAGGCCACAAGTTACTTAATTTCAATTGACTATAAATTCGATTTTGTACTTTTTACCGACAAAGAATTAAGGGCAGTTCTAGGACGCCTTGACGGAGGGAGCGATTTTCAAAAAAAGTGATTGAAAGTTCCGAATACCGTTGATGTTTAAGTTTGAAACTTTTTTATTAAAATCTTCGATACTTCACCCTGATTTTTCCGCAGATTAGTCAGATATGAAGAAAGAAAAATATTTTGAACAGAACATAATAATATGGATATTCTAATCGTATGAAAATTTATCCTACACAAATATGTTATTATTTTTTTCGCATAGGCTATGTTGGCTTAGTTATATAATACCAACCGCACCGAGCAATTATTCCTTTTACCATTTTTTTGTGATTCCCAATGTTGCTGTCGGGGAGGGGGACAGATCGCCCCATTTGCCCCTTGCTGGATCTGCCATTACGAAGAATACTTACCCCAAGTTTTATATCTATTTTTGTAGATATTAAAAAATTCATTTCCTTAGTCCTCCTTCAGTTTGTCTCGTCAAGTTGGCTTGGCAAATAAATGCGTCAGAAGGATTCATCAATGTACATGCGCGTTAGAAATAAACGAAAAACTAACACGTGGAAAGTGGTCTAAGTAGAAAATGTAGCATGTGAGTGTATTAAAGTTGATGGACTTTTACTAATGGTGAATGAAACAGAGTGTTATTTGAGATTGGTGCTATTTCATCCGTTGAAGGTAGGCTTCATTCTTCATTGTTTCTGTATTTTTCGAAAATATTCGTAATGTGAGCTTATACTGGCTTTGTTGAACATATCTATACTTATTGCTTATGTTTTTTCTATCCAAACGCTCTGAATTGAAAAGATAACAAAGAACTTTTCGTGAATTGAAGTTTATGTTGATAATTCTGTGGTATCCTCTGAAAAAAAGTTTAGAAATAATTCTTCAACATGCAACATGGCTTTTTAACCAACTTACCTCATTTTTCTTACCGGTGGGAAAATATATCAAGATTCAGATATACCTAGACTGATATAAAATACATTTATCCTATAGTTTTGTGAAATTGGTCATACTTATTTGGGTACCTACCTATCTACTAAAGGAGGTTGAGCACGAAGCAGCTCTTGGTCAAGTTAGGTGGAATAAATAGTGCTTGGTTATTGTATAATCCCTAGGATAATGTGTAATTTATGCCTCCTGTCTGTAACTTCCTAATCCACCACAATGACTTGATCAATACACTATTTGAGTCATGATTCTAGAAAATTCTTTCATCAAAATGATAGGTACTGTTGTTTTTTATCTGTTCAAAGCATAATTCTTTCAACTTTATAGATATAAACTTTTCAACTACCTATCAAAGAGGAGAGATTGAATTATGTTGTTGCCCTTCAGTGTATCCTGTGCATAATTAATGGTCAAATGGTACAGAATGTAAACTTATTTCAATTGCGATTTTCCAAAGATCATAATTAATATTTTGTCCATTGTCTCACCATGGTTCAGTATAATTTTTCAATGCCTACAGTCAATAATTTACATGATATTGCATTTCCTCTTCATGGATTTGTAACGAAAAAATTGTGCAAATTATTCAACTCACTGTTTAATTAAGAGGAAAGTTTGAAAAAACTTCATAGATGATCTTGAAATGCATGAAAACAATATCAAGAATTATAACAGTGTATTTCAGAGTGCTGATAACGAAAGCAAAGTCAATGAATACCAACAGAGATTTTTTCCAAGTGGTTTCCAAAAATATAGTGTGATATTGATCTAAAAGTTTTCAAAATCTTTCGATTTTTGTTTATGTACTCTGTAACTTTGCTGACTACGAAATGAAGAAAAAACTGATTTGACTGCTACAACAAACACACAGTGATGAACTTATTCTTTTCGATTACATGCAGATCAGAACTCTTTAGTACAGTAAACCATTTGTACTAAAACTAGTCTAGTGGTTCAGAGAGCTTACATGTAATCTCACCAGGAGAGTAGCTGGCTCCATAACCAATCAGAAATTCTTGAAATTTCAAATTATATTGCTCAGCACGCAAGTAGCTCCAGTGCTCTTCAAGACCAGAAATTCATACCAGTAGGGTATATATTTTATGACTATGAAAATACATTGGTTTAGCATTATTTCATACTCATCATTCTGAGAAAACTAGTGTGTTCAAATCAATGGAGAATAATCAGATCCTTGGCAATCATTAGGAGCAAGTGTCCTGCGGCCAGATTGTCTGCTTTATAACAAATGCACATTGCAATAACGAATCAATGTCATATTTGTAATCTACGTTGATTTCTCGAAAACTTTTGATTGGAAAGATCATGAATTCTGTTGGGAAAAGCTGAGCCGTTTTGATTAATCCACAGATATCATCCTGTTCTTCAAATCATATGTTTAAGAACGACAACAGATTGTGTTTTATAATGGCCATCATTCAAATCCAAATGTGTCAACTTCTGGAGTCCCTCAAGGCTTCGATCTAGGGCCTTTACGTTTGTTGTTGTTTATGAATGATTTAATTGATGATTTAGATACTGGTGCATTGCTATATGCAGATGAATTAAAATTTCATCTACCGATATTTCACTTGACCGATTGTAACTTGAAAATAACCTGAATGTGGTACATAGTTCATGCTTAGCTAATAATGTATGACTCAATGTATCTAAATTTAAAACTGATGTATACAAGGAAATGAATCTTTGAATTCTTATACCTGAATGGAACTGCCTTATTACGAGATTTGGGCACATCGATCTTAAACTTTCAGGGGCATCTAGGATGTATGGTTTCATAGTGCACAATTACAGAAAGTTTACTCACATTGTTGCCTTGAAGACTGCTCCACACATTATCCGGATCAAACATGCAGAAAAAGTTACTCAAATAATTGGCTTTTGTAGTTGACAGAATACCAGTTGATGACGGACAGATTCAACTTTAAAAGCTTGGAGTTTAGAAGGTGGACACCATCTAATTCCTTGCTAGGTTCATAATTTTATTGACCTGTCCTGATCTACCAAGCCAACTAAATTTCAAGGTACCAGGCAGAAACAATTTCACCTTTCTATAACTCCCGACAAAGAAGCAATGTCCTTATGAAGTCATCAATCAGCATACTGTATAATCATTTTAACAAACTTTGTAGCCCTTGTGAGTTATTCTGGAATAGCTTGAAACCAATTAAACATGTAATAGTTCACTTGTTTTTCTTCCACTGTAGTTATTTATTTTTGTAGTAGCATTCTTATTTCCCTTCAACTTTTGTTATTCGAATATTGCTCTGTAAGGGTATTTTTTTCATAATAACAATAGTTGTATGTTTGAGGTCATTTCAAAAGTGTTCTCCGTGTTGATGTCATGTGTTTTTGTAACTCTATATCTCAATATAATATCACCTCTCCACAAAACTTTTGAAACAATTTAATATATTGCCAAGAGGGCATTATTGGTAAAGGAATATAGGAAATTGCGAGAGGTATGCATCACCCTTAGGGAATTATTATAAAAACATCAATAGAGATCATTAAATTTTTATTCATGTACAATGTAAAGAGCGAATTACATTAACTTGAGGTGCACAGGTACTATTACTAGATAAGGCTAATTTTTAACGTAGCGGGTTCTGAGCCCGCCCATTAAACACTCTTGAGAGCGAATCGACACAATTGTTCAACAAGGCGATCTACCTTACAACTGACAATTTATCATTCATCAACTTTAAGAAAATAGCTACTATTTTTTCATATAAAAATCTCTAAGATGGTTTCAGTTGGAAGGAGACGGGTTTGGTGAAACGATCTGTGCAGTTTCCTGATCAAATCGATATAGCGGTCTATAATATTGTCCACGCAACTTTATGTACATTAACAATTAATTAACAATACACTTTGAACATACACGATCTACTTCTTATTAATATTGACTAAAATTCACAGAAATACTGTCATTTCAAACATTTCTTCATTTTATGAAGGAGTGTTGTTTTGCCAAACTTACCAGAAAAGCGTTATTGAACCATATGAACTATATAATATGAACAAATGGTAAATTGGTTGAGTCTTCATTTCGTAAATTATATATAGAATTGTATAAAACTAATTAAGTTGAGTTTGGGGATCCTAAAGACAATGTAAAACTATACGTTTGAGACAAAGTCACTGGAATTAAACCACCTTTAAAAGTTAAGGTTCTCTACCTTTTTTTAGGGTGTACTTCACCAGAATTTTGAAGCAGTATTTTTCCCATTGCGACACCTTGTACCTCGAATTTTCAAAACTTAGCTGGGTTTTGAACCAAATCTAACAATAATGTATTTTTCAACAAGACAAGACATTTCATAGGCTATTTATTAATATATTATACCTATACAAAATTATTGTACTCAAGATGTTTTCATATAGATTTTAAACCACTGTTTATAGAGAAAAGAGTTGGTTGATAATGTTGAATATATTATTTGTGGCATCACAAACAAGTTGAGATGTGATAATCGTCACAGAAATAATGGATTACTTTCACTGCCTGTATCAATTAGTTTCAATTGTGACGTCCAGGTAATATCTTAGGTTAGAAACTTCAGCCGGCAAAGTTCCATTAGGTTACAAATCATAGTGATAATATATTTGTGAGAAATGATATACCAAATATCTTACCACCTTTCCAGTTTTCAAAACTACAGTGTTTTTCATACGTACTTGTCATTTGAAATTTTCAATTGTGAATGTGGCACTTTACAATGACATGTGACACTTTACAATGACATGTGACAAAAATGAACTGTCAAGTTGAACTTTTGACAGGATATACTGTCAAGGTCTCCCGATTCAAGAAGATGAAGACATCTGAAATTGGAAAATGACATTCAATTAAAGATTTGCACTTGTTTCATTTTGATTTCGTTACTGGATCTGAATTTTATTGTTGTATGTTTGAAGTAAAACATATTTTAAAAATTATCAGGCTTCAAAAACTGTCTACTGCATGATAAGTGAAGGTTGTTCCAAAACTAAACTTAGTATTTTAATGTCCTTATTCTCAATGAAACTAGCACAAAAAGCAGTTTATATAAATGGTGAAAACTCTTACTAGTTTTTGGATTCATCTTCTCTGCAAAATATTTCATGATCATGAATATAAATCCTATTCCAGCTGTGGAACGGGAATTATTATGATCATGTTATGATTATGAATATTTCTACTCTAATCGGATATTAACAAAAAAAATGTTCAAGTGCCTCAATCTACTGAGGTTGAAAAAACCCCAATTTATGAATTTTTTTTCGATTTGAAATCTGTTCAGTTAGAACTGATAGCGTTCACTTAAATGGCATTTTGTGAAGGTTACAGTGTAGTTTTCTTTATTGAAACTTTTAACCTAAGAGACCCAAGTTGTTACCATCGACATAAAAAAGAGGATGTCATGATTTGAAATACATATTTCTAGATAGTAGAGCCCTACTCTAGTTATGCTTGTCTCTGAAGAATATTCGGTCAGGGAGGGTGACAAATAGATATTATGTTGTCAAAAAACTGAATTGCTTGGCAAGTGATGGGATGTGATAATTTCATAAAAAAATATGCAACCCTGTTTATTATTATCATGGAATCGTTTGATGATGATTTGTTTGCATGAAAATAATTTTTTAATGCGGAAAAAATAATTTATTGAATGAATGAGTTATTTGAGCTTTACAATTTGTGAACCCACAACTACGTTTTGAGTCACCTCAAGAAAGTTGTAGATGAAAACATTTTAGCTTTTTATAAGATTCATCTTGTGAAAAATATGTTATTTCATTAACGGATATTGTTCTTTCAAAGACAAATTTAATTTCCTACAAAAGACCTTTTTTCTCAGGGTACAATTTTGTATGAAATAAAATATCTTCAACAAATAAGTTACTCATTCAATGGCATAGCCAAAAGCCTGTTTCAAAAGTGTACCTATTTATGTCTGACATATTCGAATGGGACACATTTTTGACTTGACCCTGCCTGCTCGAGAGCAACCGTAAACACGCTCCACAGATGCAAATCTAGGTAAAAATTCCAAGTCACGTTAAAAAATATATATACACCGACTCTCCATCTCTGATCTCCTTCATAGAACCGACTCCTTGAGCTGGATCTCCTCCCCGGGACTCGAGGCCGTCTCTACTATCTTCGGAACGTGCTTCCCGCCCTGGCCCATCGTGATCGGTTCGTCTTCTTCGTCGTCCTCGTCGATTGGCGTCAGCGCGTCCCCGTCGCCCATCTGAGGTTCTTCTTCGGGTATGAAACGTTTGAGAAGCGGCGCCATGAAGCTCGTGACAGCCGAGATGGCAAACAGCCCTCCCGCCACGTAGAAGGCCACGTCATAGGAGCCCGTCGCGTCGATCAAGGCACCGGCGATCGGCGAGCCTAAGATGGCGGCCGCGCCTCGGAAGAGGATCAATAGGCCGAACGCGTTTGTGAGCTTGTCGAGGCCCAGGAGGTCCACCAGGATGATTGAGGTTAGGGAGATGTAGCCGGCTGCGAATGGAGAAAATGGTCCTTAGTTTATTGAAAAGAAAAGCAGAAAAAAAGCAGAAACTCTCAGGGATTGATTCAAACATACACGGTGTATAAAAGCAGGCCCCCAAACAAAAGGAGGTGATTATGTAAATTACAACAAAAAAATCATGTTTCAACGCTCAATGCATTCTTTGAAAAATTCATAGTGAGACGAGAGGTAACTTCTCATTGTATGAATTGCATTCATAATTATGTCAAAGCTATTTTCCGTGTTTTCTGACCGTGTGAGGACTAACAGAAAATATATAGGTCAGACTAAGTGAGCCATTTTAACTCGTTTCAAAGAATATGCAGCATATATCCAATTTTGGAGACCGAATAAATCTAGAATCGCTCAGCTCGCCTTTGAGAACAAAATATAGGAATATTGACCTTCCCGGCTGACGTTGATACGTCAAGAAGATTACTTCGACCATGGCACTGAAGATGACTGCCGCAGTTGCAGTTGAAACGTTTGATGATTGTAACCAAAGAAGACCACGGCAAAACCCGGAACCAACCAAAACACGGCATGGAATGAATAAAAACTGTCTGAAATTGTTTAGATTAGTATTTCTCAAAGCGGGCGATAACGCCCCCTTTTGGGCGCTGGAGGCCTATAGGGGGGCACAGAGAAGATTGAGGCGTTGAAGCGGTTTAGGGTGGCGATGGCTAATTTAAAAATGTTTTTGCTTTTAACACAAACTTTACCGCTCCTTTAAGCTTAACGCGCGTTTTCTCGTGCAACACCATCTAGGGGACTAGACAGTAACTATAGTTGTCCGATAGTTGTCAAATTGTACAATAAATGGCGGTAAGCTTCAATGCGAAGCGAGAAGTTTCTAGTCTCCATTCTCGAAAGTACTAGGCCCGGCCCGCTGCCTCATATAATAACGCGCGCGCCATCCAGCCATTGATGTCATTCGACGATATTACGAAAACAAGTGAATTTAGTTAGACTAGCTAGGTAAAGTGCTATATGTGCGGTGTGGTGAATACTGTGACTGGTGTCATTAGCAATAGTCGATTCTTTACTTCGGCATTTTTGAAGACAAAATTATGTCGGAAGCAAAAGAGAAGAAACGGCAGTATAGCGCGTAATAAATAAAATATGGATTTATTGAAAATTCCACAAATCCATCTTCGACTATGTACCTTCTCTCAATCACTGCAATATATCATCAAAGCAGTCACTAAAATCCGAAACAGCTCTTTAAATGACAGATTATTTAATCAGCTTTGTGTTGCTAATGATGAAGATTTCAACCGATTGCTATTCCACACAGAAGTTGGTTGGTTATCAAGAGGTAACTGTCTCGACTCGATTTTACAATCTATTTGACTCTGTAAAAATTGCTCTTATACAAGAATAATATATGCAGACATGAGTTTCGCAATTTCCCTAGCTGGAAGAAGAACTCCACGTTAGATTAGTTTTAAAATTCAAATTGAAATGTTTGTTTTAATAACATGAATAAAAGTTTTCCTAATATTACAAAATGTTGTTTTACATTACCCTTATCAGAAAGTCATATTTTCACATGACACACATAATTTAAATAATAAAATAATGACTGCAATTGTGATTCTTAAGATGTAGTAAAATAAAAAAAATGGGGGGGCGTTAGAAAATAATTAATTCTCGAAGTGGGCGGTAGACAAAATAAGTTTGAGAACCTCTGGTTTAGATCGTTATTGGATGCTTTCGAAAGTTTGGAAAGCAGTAAAGTTGGAAATTAGTCTTCTGGGAAACACTGCAGCCTCACGGTCTTCTATAAAGAAAATTTAATACCTGGACAAATCTTACTATTTTCCATTGCCTATTTTTTTGTATGGCCAAAATTTCAAAGCAGCCTTCAGAGAAAATGACTGTATTTCCCACAAAAAATGTATTGAAAAAGGTTTGGTTGAAAATTGATAAAAACACACTTTCTTCCTGTTGACGTCATCAACTCCCAAACGTTTTTTTCTCGAGATTTACTGGAAGCAATTTTGAAACAGGATTTGACAAACTGTGAAAGAAGATATCACTCAACTCGTAAACCCAATAAATATTTGAGAGTCAAGTCCACCCCTCTGAAGTCCCACCCAAAGGGGTGGAAATAAAGACGAAAATTCGATAAGCCTGGGCAGTTTTTTCTCAACGCTATTTGAAATCGCCGTTGTTTTTTTTTCATTGCCCCTCCACCTATCTATGAAGTCCCACGTTGGTTGCCACAAATCGTAAGCTCATAAAACATCAATCACTGCAATGTTTCATTCAATAATTTGCAAATAAAAAGCAAATTTTGAAATGATATTTTGGCAAACCAGTAGATAGAGATTTTCATAAAATTAAATTCAAGTGACAGAAAATCAATACTTACACACAGCAATCCCAAAAAATATTGCGATAACGACGTACAACTCATAGGTGTTGCATAGCGGGGTCAGTGTAACTGAGATCGTAGATATAATCAGGCAGATATTATTGACAAACAACGCGTTCACTTGGGGAAAATCTGCGAAGTATCCACAAGCTATACGTCCTACCGTATTTGTAATACCAATAATGGATATCAGGAATGAAGCCTGTGGAGCAGCAATTCCCTGTAAAATCGAGAGGAAATGAAGGTTTATAATAAGTACACAAAAAGTTTAATATTCATACAATTTGAAATGAGTTTTCAGTAATATTTGGACTGAATATAAAAAAACCAAAATCAGAATGATTTATTCTTTGGTGTTATATTGGTACTGTTATTGATATAAACAAATGAATTGCAAAAGGTCGATATCGTCAGTAGTTCACAAATTTTCGAATATAATCTGATCTGATTGAATTTTTCATCACATATCAATATTACAAGTATCATTAAACGTATACAATCTTTCTTAACGTGGATTTATGCAGCATCAACTTTCATCTCCGTGTTCTGTGGTTTCAGTCATCAAAACCACAGAACATGTAGGTGTTATGTGACAAATACTTCAATTTTCACTGTGGGAAGTCAATTATTCCTAGTGAAAGTGTAAATTGTAGCATGCGCAAGTGCAATAGCAAAGCATAATGTATTATGTTTCATATGCATTATTATGTGTGATTAAAATGAGAGCACCTTTTGCTGCTTGAAAGAAGACATCTTGGTAAATGCAAATGAAACAACTGACCTTCATGAATAAACAATCAAATCGTAGGTGTTTGGTTCAACTGGTTATCTACATAACCTTTGAAAAGAAAATTAAATGATCTTATGTTTTTGTTGATTGACTCACTATTTAACTTGAATTAGAAGACTAACCAGGAGTGACTAAACAACCACAGAACAATGAAAATATAGAAACATTGCTTGAAATGTACGAATTTTGTTGCTTAGGTTAGAAACATTAATTCAAGCAGCAGAGTTTTTTGACTTTACAGTTATATCATAAAATATATAAAAAATAGAATTCGAATGAAAAAAGATGTGTCTTCTTTCACATCCTTCATATTCCTCGATGAATTTTCAAACCTCAGCTGACTGTATCATGTTAATGCAAATGTATTCAACTTATATTTGAATACATTTATATCTATCACATTGTTTAATACTGTTCTAAAATTTTATCTTTGAGAAAGCTCACACAATTATAATACAATTACACATTGAAGATGTAGAAAAAATTTGTTGAGCTTGATCAATATTATATTTATAACGATATAGATGTGAAATGCATACTTACAGCTGCTTTGGCGCAATCCACTATGTAAACGAAAGGAACATAAAGACCGGCCATTCCGAAAAAATTTGAAACTCCTATAAGCATGAACACAGGGTTTTTCAACAAACTGACATCTAACATTTGAGCAAGAGCAGACGTAAAGCTCTCTGGCAGGACAAGACAAGGGCATATATCACCAGCTGTAAACAAAAAAATCTATTAAAAAATGGATTGGTTTTTTATGCAACACTAATAATAGGTGGTGAATTATTTTAAAAAAAACTCGATGAAATGTATCAGTAGGATGGGCATTTATTTTCTACAGTCACGTTACGAAGAAAGATTTTATGGCTTAGAGTCTGGAAAACTCATTAGAATTACTAAAATGAATGATTTAGGAAATACTCATATCTGAAGTAAGATAAGGTGTTGCTCTTTTAATATTTCTATTCAATATCTCAGTGGAAGGTGCAATAACCACCAAAATGAAAACGGCAAACGACCATGCAAATGACTTGGAGCTGATAACTAGAAACCTAAGCGTTTTGAAAAAAAAAACTATCAAAGATATACAAGAGAGCAAGCAAAATAGATACAAATAAAATGAAAACGAAATACCTATCTTATTTGTTCCAGCTAACACAAGTGAAATAATGATGGGAGAAATACTATACTAGAGAATCGACAACGTATATTCGTTAGGTCTGAAAAAAAGTTATTTCAAACAGTTTTTGAACTCATTGGATCTACAACTGAAGGTTGGATAGCTTCGTAATTTGAATCCATCACGGCTGTGCAACCGCACGCGATTAGTCATTAAAATAATACTGGAAAACGTTGTCGAAGCAAGCATTTTAAATGGCACTCAGATTGGCATTTGCAATGACTTTCGATAAGTCATAAGGTCAAACAATGTCGAGTGGGCAAACCATCCAGTTTGTTTGTGTTAGCTAAACATAGACTAACAAAAAAATATCGTTCACAGTATAACGTCGAGTGATTAATATTATTTGTCATTGTTCTGACACACACTCAATTTGAGTTAGTCATTTTCTGACCTAAAATTCCCTAAAAATAATTTATGTGGCAAAACAATGTTTGCCGGGTCAGCTAATAATTTTATAAAAAGCCCACTGACATATAGACCTAGAAGAAGAGGCTAGAAGCAACTGAGTGCTTGAAGAAACTAGGAGTAAGAATTTGTAGAGACAAGAGATAGATAGAGAAATGTAGGAAGAATGGAGAAAGATAGATAGATTTATTGGGTCATATCATGTGAATATGTAGGATATGACAGAAAAAGGTTTACAAGACATTACCAGCAATTAAAACGATAAAAATATAAAATTCATGATGTCGAATATTGCGCTAACATATAAATTAAATAAAACAGATAGTAGGGATGACTAATTCTCAAAATTACTCGCAAATAAGTGTAATGTGGACTGATTTCCCTTATGAAACGAATCAAAAGAAGTCCACAAAGGGCTAGAATGGCTAATATAGAGCGCAAAATCCTTCTTTGAAACGTATATGCGAATGCAATGCTTTCGAGCTCGGATTCATCTAACTGCACTTTGCGGTGAAATCCACAGAGAGATAGAAAACGATTCCCTGTTTAGTGTGGGTAGTATACCGAAACTGTTCTTTATAACAGACATAGATGGCGTATTCTAGTCCCATTCAAGAAATTACGGATTAATCTTATCTTAATACCTACGTGTTCCTTCATCATCTGTGTTTTTCATCTGAGGCAGACTTAAGATGCTCTGCCTGTAGTTCGTCAACGATTTCTGCGATTTGAATTCTGGAAGATGTACGATCGAACCCGAATAGAAAATATCCTTCCTAGATAAAGGGCGTACCATCAGCGGTTTTTCTTTCCTACTCGAGATCGAGAGTTTGGAAGTGTAAGCTAAACTTTCCACGTCGGCCTGAAACAAATATCATTTTAATTTTCAATGAAAACCACACATGTAATTACAGAAAATGTATGACTTTTTTCAACATTTGAAGTAACAGCGTTGATAAATGGTCTTCAATATTAAAATAATGAAGTAGAATTGCATTGCCAGTAGCACAAGGGTGATGTTCAATCGATAGAGTGAGTTAAAACGAATATGAAACTGCTATAATTACTCAGGAACGGCTAATCCGATAGATAATTGAAATGCCTTCTAAACGCTTATCACAAAACATGCCTATTCCATTCGAAAAAAAGTTGCTAGAGGCTTTTTTGCTACTATTAATAAAAGCAGAACACAAGACGTTTCTCTTTTCCGCGTCTTTCCGACGTGAACATATTATGGTACATTGCACATAGAAGAGACGTAGCGCGAGCGGCCGTGATATTCGAGAATTCTGAACAATTTGCAGTTTTGCTTGCCAAAAGATTCAGATAGGAATATGTCTTTTGAATTGTGCAACCTCCGGTGAAGATGTGCATCCGCAGCTAACATTTATACATCCCCAGAAGCAATGAAGTTCGCGTATCAGCTAGTTGAGTATTGGAATAAAAACAACTACACTGTAGATAAAAAACATATTTATATAGCCTGGCTGCACGTTATGTCAAATATGAAGGTTTCGTCGAACAAAATTAAGTGGAAGACATTAAGCGATATGTCGCAAACTACTTGCTCAGAGAAGTTCAGGAATTAAATTTGGAATGAGTGCGAGTATCGAACATGTGTTTCATCTTGGCATCCTGACAAAGTGAAACTGAATGGAAGAGACATTCCATAGAGTGGCTATATATCACTCGGTCTCAAATTTAATAGTTATATCGGACGTGAATGTGTACAAAATAAATCACAAACGGTTAGCATTATCGAACTTTACGAATCACAATTTGAAAATCAGCGTTTATGGTTGATTTTCTTCAATATTGTCAAGTTGAAGTCATTTTATGTAGGAGGCAATTTTTTTCTCAGATTTTCTGTTTAAATACATTTCAGTTGATGTTTCCGTTATTCATCAATTGTTTTTGACAACCTCATATTCATTATACAACCTCTATTAACCGAGTTGACAAATTTTTAAGTTGAATACTCCTCCCTTCAAGGTTAAAGGGATGGGGAGTTCAAAAGTACATGATCAAATTGCAATTTCAAAGTGAAAATCAACATGTCTCTCCGAGAGATAAATAATATCAAAGATTACAGGAGAATATATGGCAAATACCCAACAAAGAACCTTTACAAATTGGTACACGGAACAAGACTTTTGGAATGAGTATCATGAAACGATGGGGTGAAGACGCAAGAGGTCCATGAGATATCAGTCATTTCTGGTTACTTGGACGAAATGGTTCTCAAAGAGGAAAACACGAATACGCTGTTTGAATCACAATAAATGAGTTTTACCCACCTCACTATTATTATTTCTACTCAGGAACGACCCGGTCGAATCATTCCTCCTCCTCCTCATGTCCCCATTCGAATTGCCCACGCTTCCTCGAGAAGAAGCCCTTATGGGATTCAGAGTAGGTTTGAACCTCTCCCCGAACGATGTTTTTCTTATCCTATCGAAAGTCGGCACAGATCCGTTCTTGGGCAAACCTTGGACATGCGTTGTGAACGCCGGTTGACTAGCGTTTCTCGGCATCGCCTTAGCGTTCTGACTAAACTCGTTGCTGTTCTCCGAATCCTTCCTCACCCTTCCTTCTTGCTGGATGATCTCCACCCTGGGATTCTTCACGCCTTTGATCTCGGTTATGCTACCTCTTGGACTGGGTGTGCCTGAACTGCCGCTTTGTTCGGTGACTCTAGCTTCGGTGATGGTGGGAAGGGTGGGGACCGTCGGTATCGGGTTCACGGGGGTTCCGGGAGCGAGTTGGTCAAGGTTCAAGCTGGAGTGGACGCCTGGGTCGATGTTCAGAGGTTGCTTCATCCTTTTTTCCATCGTTCCGTCTGGCAGTTGCACCATGAAGTAAGACCCGCCTATGCTACCTGAAATATTTTGATGCTGGTATGATTTATTTCTGAGGCAAGTTTCCACGAGTTCGGTTGGTACCTGATATCTTGAACTGGAGTGATATCAGGAAAATGGCTTTATAATGGAATATTACTTCAACGTACTACGTCAAATTTTCGTTACAACGAAATCTTTCAGATGAGTTAGTGAAAGTAATGTATTTCGCTGTCATGATGATTTGACGTAGAAATAAGACATTGTTAAAACGTACGCATGCAATACTACCTCTCTCCATCTGCAGCTTGCGTTCCTCAGCCATCCTCTGCAGCAGCGGCGTTTCTCCGGTCTCTTTAGGGTACTCCAGGGGTCGCATCAGTGCCCCGAACAGGACGCAATTGAGTATGAACCCGGCCAGAATGAGGTTCGCCCCCCTCCAGCCGTAATTGTCCAGCAGAATAGTCGCCAAAGGAGCGAACGCGAACGTACCCACCCCCGAGCCGCAAACCGCGATCCCCGTCGCCAGCGACCTCTTCGTTTCGAAGTAGTACCCAACGCACACCACCGCCGGCAAGTAGATTAACCCGAATCCCACGCCCCCCATGAACCCGTAAGTCAGCATCAGCCAGTTGACGGTTGGACTGAAGGTCGAGAGGACGAAGGCAGCCGTCGCGATGATGCTGCCTGAGACGCAGACGGCGCGACACCCGAACTTGTTCGTCAGAGCGCTCACCAGGGGACCCGCACTCAAGTACATGCCGGAGAGGAGGGATCCGACCCAGGCGGTCTTCCCTTTGGTCTCGCCGTAGGAGGTCACTATGTCCGAGAGGAAGACGCCAAAGGTGTAGGCGATACCGTCGACGATCAGGTTGCACATGAACGAAGCGAAGACCACCACCCAGCCGTAGCCGCCGTCAGGGGGCGGCGGCAGGTCGTGGTAGTCGCAGTACTCATCTTCATCGTCGTCTTCTTGTTGTTCCGCAGTTAGGCGGGCCGCTTCTTCGCACGCTACCTCGCTGTCGGTCTGGAAAGAAATAGAATGTCAGTGACAGGTCATCAGATATTTATTCTTAAGAACAGTAACGCAACTCAACAGCAATAAATTTATCACAACACCGGCAGCATTAAACATAACCTAGGAAGGGTGGTATATTCCCAGCTCTGCTATGAATCGGACTGGAAATATATTTACCTATTCTGGTAAAACTTTATATAGAGGCTAGTTTTGCGTGAAACTGTGTATCATATGATTGACAGTAAGGGTGGTATATGTATCCGAAGGATAGTGGACGGACAAATCAGACAGGATGCTTGAAGTGCAACCCTTCGAACAACCAGTAGTATGCCCAACAATCCATATTCTTCAATATCGAAGGAGCAGTTAACAATGCACTACCTGCATTCATTATTATTATTCAATAATATCAAGATTGCTAGGAGTTGCACACTGCCGGGGTACTATTCCCCTTCTGTGCTGACAGTTTGCTTGCTTGACAGGAGAAAAGTCTACAAAATCATAAGGATGTTGTTGGTTCAATGGATGTGGTACCTCCAAGGATTGTCCTGAGGATTATGTTGGACTGCCATGCTGCAAGTTCATGAGCCATTGATCGTGAAAATGTGTGAGCTGGTGTGTAAAACAATGGACTGCCGTTTTAATAGGGGAACCCAAGCGGGGATTTTGGGATTTACCAAAGCGCGGCAGATTAATATATAGGGGGGTACCTTGTACCCAGTTAAATACCTAAACCAAATATGAGCCCCATATATAAGGCCGCCCGTGAAGGATAAAGGATCAGATTAGTAAAAAAAAATTGATCATCAGAAATTCTCGAGCGCGTCAGATTAATGTAAGGTGAGTTAATTACATGCTAAAAAGTGTATATTCCAGTAACCTGACAATTTGAGAGTTACGTAAAGAAAAGGGAGGGCAGCAAAGTTGTAAGAAAATAACGTCATTTCGACATTCTCGAGCGTAACTATTTTTTCTTTATTTTGAAGGAAATAATTCAAGGATAACGAAAAATATATAATCTGACGATTTCCGCAAGCCGAAATAACAAAAATTCGTCGATAAAGTGTAATGCGTGCAGCTGTGTGATAACTATATTTCCCTCTCCGCGTTTCTATTCCTCTTTCACTTTTTCTCTATGTATTACTCTCTCACTCCGTCCCCACTCGGAATTCTGTTGCCATGACGCCATCACAGCTGATAACAGAGACTCGTTCATGATGAAGATGATGATTAATTAATAAATTGATTATAGAGAATTAACTTTTTTTGATCATTTTTTAAGAATTATTTTCTTATAAATACAAGTATTCTACTTGACAAACATACGCTTATTTATTTGCATGCTATTTCCTGAGCTTTTCAATTATTTAAGTTCAATGATTAAAAAAAAATATTTTTTTGTCAGATTAGGCGAATCCCTCTAGATAATCGTCAGATTATGAGACAGCACGTCTTGAACATGAAGATGAACTATATATATCTTAATCTGACGCGCTTGAGTATTTCAAAATGGCGAATTTTTTTTGCACATTATAATAATGGCCGCGAGTTTGCATCAGATCGAAATCGTCAGATTATTGAATGAGAGCTTTTTTTGTTGTACTTAACACCCCCTTAGAAAATCTGACGCGCTCGATTAAATTTTTTTTCTTTTCACTTTTAACCCTTACGTACAACCACCCACATCATGCAAACGATCGGAATAACATACGAACATTATTTAAAATACGTAGAACATTGATGCTATCAATATCTGACGCCCTCGAGTATGTCCATGCAACAGTATTTTTTTACATATTTAAAAATCTATAGCCGAATGGTCATCATTTGGCAGTGTTTGTTGAGTTAGATTCAAGTCCTGATCCTGTCATTATTATACCATAGGTGTTGGACTAATAAATAATTGGTGAACAAAGGTTCGATATGGCTGTTGTAGGAGTAATGTTTAACAGACTCCTCGTATTCATAATAGACAGTACAACTGTATCACTTCATCAACGGAGACTTCGCCTTGTGAAAGTGATGCTGTGAGTTTGTTCTCAGCGTTTTTCATTGCAGCCATCTAAAGAACCAAGTCCATGATTACTTGATTCGTTATTTTTCATAATTTAATATTAAACTTATCATTTTGGATATTTGTTTTCAATTTAGGGTTAATTTTCGCAAATAGATCACAGAAACAGTAGTTCATTTCCTTTACAGTCACATTGGTATCTTGAGACTCTTGTAAGTAAAAATTTCAGTCAATTAAGAACTTTCCTCTTCATTTTACAAGGTCATAGTGAAGTTAGCGGTCAAGACCATACCCGGTCGAAACATTTTCCACTCTTTTCAAATCAAAATATGGGTTTTGGTCTGTCTGCAAAAGTGTTTTTGATCTTGATATGACCATCGAAGTAATGGTCAACGTCAATTCTGATTACACCAGACTGAAAAATTCTTTAACTTTTTTCTGATATTTTTTTACAAAAATACATTCCCCAAAAGTTATTCAGCTGTTGCCATACTGTCGAGAAACCCGATTAAGAGATGAACTTCCTTGCTTGCTCATTTGATTCTGGCTCTGCTGTCTGGAGCAATTTGCCAGTCTTCGGTGATCCGATCATCACCCTTCCTGTGGCATTCTCCGAAACATCTCAAACTTTTGAGATGCACTTGTAGATATTGATCGTATCACGGCGAATAAAAGACGAACTTGAGCAAAGGCCTATTAACAAATTTATGAGTTTAGACACCCGGTTTCTCAAAATAAGCAAGTAATGTTCGGAGTATGCATTCGTTTCAATTTGTTAGACGAATTCAAACAAATGGACTCCAATCTATCGATCGTCCGGACCGAGAATAATTTGCTAATGATTATCAAGGTGAATGAATCGGATTCGTTTGAATATACGTGATTCGAGCTGAACGATTTGCTTTTTATTCATGAATCGTAAACAACTAGCGAGCTCCGGACTCTCGAATATCATTCGTAAATCACGTGAATATCCTGTACAAACGCGTGCATGACATTCTTTTGATACAGGAGAGTTAGATACTAGTACTTGATATCGTGGTGTTACTATGAGACGATCATTTTGATGATTTTTTTACTGGAATAGATTTCCAGTTTGAATTAACATAGCAGGCAGAATCTCTTGGAAGACAACGAGAACATTCAGAAGTTTGTTCAAACACAAGAATTTTTGTTCACCCATTTAGCAACCATTTCAGAGAAAATGTTTAACGATTAAAGCTGGAAAGTCGGGAAAAGCCACATCTCAAATAGTTGATGATAGCATCTGTGGGTAAACATAGATAAAACCCGCATTTCAGGTTTATGAATATGTATGCTCCTAATTGATTCAATGAATTCTCGTCAGGGTTGAGGTTTATTCAAGAACATGTCTCCTGGAAGCCATTATTTTTGAGATATCAAACTATCGAGTGATTCGACCCAATACTCTGTAATGAACACTGCATTTATTTCTACGTCAGAAGAAGTTGAAATTTCAACTGAAAGACGCGTACTAGAATACTTCGAATAGAGTTTAGCAATCCAATCCAAGGGACTTTTCCCTTGGATTTAGTTGTTGTCCATCTTCATCTCTGAAAGATCTTGTATGTGTGTATATCGACTAATGATTGATTCATTTACCAACAACGACTAGGTGACTCATGGTTCAGTTTTTGAACTCAACGTCAGCCGGTACGTCTTATTTGTTTCCAAAGGTTGTGTCACGGCTTCTTTATTAAATACGATAAACACACACACATATATAACGGTATTATTAATTAAACCAGTGATGACATTTCTCTAGGACGTCCAATCATAGACGTTCAAAAAGTCACAACGTTTGACGTGTAGACGTTGGACGCACCTTTAGTGTCTTCGCATCCACATCAAAGCCAGTAAGTTGGGACGAGTATATGTATCAGATAGGCTGAAATGTTCGTAGGATAACTCACAGATTGCGCTATTAGTACCAAATCCATATGATTTTCTGTCAATTCTAACCTTCAAAAGATACGTGTACAAATTTCACAGCTGTAGGATTATTATTTTGTGAGATAGAACGTTTTGGGTGAAGCAATATTTGTTAGTTTGAAGAAAATGGGTAGAAAGCAATTTTGTGTGTTGATAAAACATTGCTGCTTTTTGGCAAAAAAATACTGGACTTGATATATATATTATTCGAAAAATCAACCGTTGGGAAGTGGTTTGCTAGGTTTAAACGAGGTGACATAAACACAAAGGACGATGCACGCACAGTGGACGTCGCAAGGTGGCTGTTACCTAGGGAAACAAAAAGTCCACAAAATAATTTTGTATGACCGCAAAGTGAAGTTGATCGAGATAGTTGGGGCTCTAAAGATATAAAAGGAACGTGTTGAACATCGTGCATGAATATTTAGGTATGCGAAAGCCCTGTTTGAAGTGGAAAGAAATTAAGCGCTGGTAAAGGGGTAATCTTCAAAACTGAGTCATATTTTGAAGCTAAAGATACTGTCAAAACTCAAAAGGTTCCTGAAAAACCGGGTTATCATAACGAGTCGAACATGTACGGTGTTATGTTACGAGGCATTACGTTCTTGTTGACAATGAGATTTATTTTTGTGTCATATAACTCCATTAGGTTAATCTCTGGTTCTTCCTCGATATCAACGGTTTAGCGTTTTTTCATGTCATAGCAAGCTTTATGCTTATAAATTTTAGCGTAACAGAATTCGACCTTCATTTTTATTATTATATAGACTCATCGCAAATCATTTGATGAAAAAGCTGTACACTCAACTTAATAAAAATAAAAATAACGAGCAAACTATTCCTATCTTCTTTATCGCAATCTGAAAGTAAACACTGATATTCAATTCAAGGGTAGCATATCGGAGATTTGTAAGCTTATCGAGTGCCTCATGCAGTGAAATCTTCCTGCAACGTCAATCAACAGTTTATACAGAGTGTTTGTGAATTGATAATCTTTTTTATGTAGAGAGAGAGGTATGTGACTTTTATTTGTTATGCAATA